TTGTTGGCGCGGATGGTCAGGTTGCCGCCGCCCACCACGTTGATGCCCACCAGGCCCGGCCCGCTGATGTTCAGCCGCTCCATCACCACGCCGTACACGAAGGTGCTCAGTTTGATGCCGTGCGTGCCGCAGTTGGCCAGGTTCATGTCCTGCGGGGCGGAGAGAGAAGGGGAGGGGGGAAGTGAGAAGCACAGCGGCAGCAGCAGAGTGCCGATAACTGGGACAGCAGCGAACATGGTGCGAAGGAGGACCCGTACCAGGGCAAGCCAACAGAAGGGTGTGCCTAGAGAGCAACATGTAACTCTGAATTCCACAAGCCTCAACGCCCACTCCCCCCCACCGCCCCGCCTCACCGTGAAGAAGGAGAGCAGCGGTGAGAACTTGCCGCTGGTCCCCGCGTACCAGTTCCAGTAGGGGCTGGTGCCGCTGCCGCCGGGTCCGTCCAGGTGCATGCAGCTGCCGCTGGAGCCGTTGGACATGGCGATGTCCAGCCCCGTGATGTTGATGGCGGTGGCGCTGAAGTACATGTAGATGCAGGGCGTGGTGACGTTCTGGGAGCAGACGATGGTGGCGCGGGCGGGCAGGTCGGCCGGGTGGGTGGTGATGCTGGTGTTGGTGGCCTTCATGAAGGTGATGTAGCCGGGGTGGCGCTGGCCGGGACCCGCGCGCAGGAAGATGCGGTCGCAGTTGCTGCCGTGGTCCAGCGCGGCCTGGATCGTCTTGAAGGGCTGCGCGTAGTTGGCATAGTAGTCAAAGGGCTGGCTGTCGTTGCCGTAGATTGCATCCACGGTAAGGTTCTTGCAGATGCGAGACTGCCAGAAGTAGTACGGCCAACCGAAGTCAAAGGTCGATGGACGCCCCATGCTCTTAAAGGCAGCATACGCCTTGAAGGCAGCAGGCACGGGTGGAATGGCTTTGACAGCACCTGCAGCACCGGACTGCACTGCGCCGGCGTCGTAGGGACCCACGGGTCGCGTCTGACCGTTAAAATCGGCTGCATTGGGTGGGATGTCTCCCGGAATGGTCATGGGCACCCGTGCCTTTGCCGGGCTGCACGGCAGGGGCGTGAAGGTGGCGTTGAGGCGCGGATCTGCCTCCGTGCTGTTCACCTCGCACATGGTGAGGTTCAGCTTGGCGGTGCAGAACTGCCGCCATCCACTCAGGTTGCCCACGAACAGGCTCCCGGCGCGCTGGTCCTCCAGCATCACTCCCACGCCCCACTTGAACGTGCCGTTGGTGGCCGCCTGCGCCGCCTGGTCGTGGTACACGTTGTAGCCCGTGATGAGGTTGGGCGAGACCGTGTCCAGGCCACTGGCGCGGATCTGCAGCAGCGGGCCCGCCGCCGCGGAGGCCGAGCGCGCCACGATGTTGCCCCACAGCGTGACGTCCCTATTGCCCAGGTACACGTTGCCGCGGCCCGTGATGCCGTGGACGGAGGCGTCCAGCAGGATCCCCGCCTGGCCGCCCTCCATGACGCGCCACAGCGTGTTGTGCGTCACGCTGGTGCGCAGCGCCCCGCGCAGCACGATGCCGGCCAGGCGGGTGGCGGTGATGATGTTGTTGCGCAGCGTGGTGTTGAGCGCCTCGTACAGGTTGGGGTTGTCCAGCGTGTTGAACATGTCGGCGCCCGTGAAGCCGCCCACCTCGATGCCGCTGTTGACCTGCTCCATGTAGTTGCGCTTGAGGCTGGCGCGCGCGGTGCCGCCGGCCAGCAGCACGGCGCCGCCCGCCGTGTCGTGGAAGTAGCAGTCGGAGATGTCCAGGTCGTACGCCTGCACGGCCTCGATGCCGAAGCCGTAGGTGCGGAAGCGCGTGCCGGCGTTGTAAATCTCGCAGTTGCTGAAGCTGTTGTTGCGCGAGTTGACGGACAGCTTGACGCAGCTGCTGCCAGTGTCGTGGATGCTGTGAGAGGGGGGCCGGGCAGAGAGGGAAGAGGGCACAAGGCACAAGGCGCAAAACAGTGTTGGGCCTATCATGGCCCTTTCAGGTGCAACTGGGGACAGCAACTGCATACAAAAGACAAACTCAATAAGCAAACAAGCCGACGTCACGCACAGCGCTGTCCGCCAGCAGCCCACACACGCAGCGGCTGCTCTCACCGCATGTTTTGCAGCACCCAGTTGCTTGGCGCCGTGCCGTTGGCCACGTTCTGCTGGGTGGTGCGGTAGGTGCCCCAGGCCGTGTAGAACATGATGGCGTAGTAGAAGCCGCCGGTGATTTCGAAGTTCTGGAACACGCCGTTGTCCGCGCCCGGGAAGATGGTGAAGGTGTTGACGGCGCCGTGCGGGTCGTTGAGCGGACTGGAGATGACGGCCCAGTGGCCGGGGGCGGACTGCAGGGTGATGTTGGGCTGCGTGATGGACAGGGAACCTGAGGAAGGGATTGGTTAGGGATGTGCGGAGGGGGTGAGGGGAGGTGATGTGGCTGAACGACACGCCAGCAGGCAAGGGAACCATGCTAGGGGCATTGGCCAGTTAAGCCAGGGTCACAAGGTTCCGGTGGATGTCCATGAGCTGGCGGCAGCAACGCTCCCTCTTACCTCCGTACGAGCCGGTTTTCATGTAGATCTTGTCTCCTGGCTTGGCCCAGATCAGCGCCTTGGCGGGCGACGCGAAGGGCAGCTCGGGTTGCCCGCTGTACGCCTCGTCGTCGCCCTCCGGCCCCACCCACCAGATGCGGGGGACGCTGGTGACGTTGTAGGGGTACTTGACGGTGGGCGCGGTTGCCCCCGCGGCTGTGTCGTATGTGATGGTGAGCGAGGGGCGGAACAGCGTGCCGTTCTGCCAGGCGGCGTTCATCACGAAGATGGAGCCGTTCATGCCCCTGCGGAGAGGAGGGGTGGCAGGTTATCGGCTTAATTAGGAAGCGCAAGAAGGGCATGCAATGGGGCATGCAGCACGAACCATGCATTGGCTCGAAGGCGCACGAACACAAATTGGGTTGGGCGTCTTGGGATCTCAGCAATGCGCAACCTAAGCCGCTAAGCCTGAAAACCCACCTGAACATCATGCCATAGTTGGCGGCGCCCTTGTTCGCGATCCAGCCGGCGACTATCTTGGTGTCCAGCGGGATGGTGATGGGGTAGTAGGCCTGCCCGCTGCCGCTGATGTAGGGCGCCAGGAAGCTGACGTTGGCTTGGCGGTTGCAGTCCGCCCAGCCGCCCGGCTCCGTCCAGTTGAGGCTGGCGCTGCCGTTCCAGCGCGAGTACAGCCAACCGGTGGACGTGAACCTGAGGGGGCAGCAGCGGGGGCAGAAGCGGCAGCCGGGGTGGTGGTGCCTGACGGTGGCATAGAGGGGACCAGACAGTGCAGTGCAGGGAGCGCCGGAGGTGGTCGGGCGACGGCCACTCTTCATGCTGCTGCACCCCGCCCTAGGCCCTCCCATCACCTCCTCACCTCTGCGCCGGCAGCTCGTAGGCGCTCCACTGCTTTGTCATGTAGCACGCCTGAACCTGCACCCAGTAGTGCACGTTGAGGAAGGTGACCACCAGCTCCGCCGACTGCACCACGGCGCCCGCCGGCACGTAGCGGTGCAGGTCCTCGAAGCGAAGCAGGTAGCGGAACGTGCCGCTGTACCGCTCATCGCCAAAGTTCATGTAGCCCTTGGAGTCATTCCACCAGTAGGTCAGACCGTTGGGGAAGACGTTGACGAGCTGTGAGGGGCGTGCAGGTTGGGAGTGGGGAATGTGGGGAAAGGAGGAAGCTGGATAGGCGGCTCGGAGCAGGGTTGGGTTACACTCGCCCCGTTGGTTGCTGATTATAAGGGCGGGAGTTAGGGCCTGGCCTATGCCGTTTTGGGGCTTAAATAATCCGGGCAAGTTGACTGCCCGCAGTGCGCCAGTTGCAAACCTCAGGTGTAAGGGGAATCCATGGTCAGCTGTTGCAGGTAACAACCCATAGGGAAAGTCAAGGTGCAGAGCACAGGCGGTATTGGTCTACAGCGCGTGTATGCGCCAAACTGCCCCGGAGACTATTATCCTACCTGGTTGGAAAAAGACGTCTCGCGGGTTCCATTATATACCTCTGCTTGACCGTCAACGGGTGCAATCGAGCGGCCTGTGACTATATGTACGCGCTCCGGGGCACCATCTGCGCTTTGCTGAAGCAATAGAATATATGTAATAACGACACACAGTGCTAGAAACCTCGTAAAACAGCTATGGGGCGGAAGGGCCATGCTCATGGCATGAAGACCAACTCCCTGGTTACGAAGGATTTTCGCGGAAGTAATATGTGTTGTAATTTTAGCCGGCAAAGGGAACGCAGCTTGAATTAATAGAGAGAAGCATGGGGGGTTCCATCCAGGTTCGGTTAGGTAACACCATGGGTGACAGCTTACGGTTGCATTTAGCAAATCATAAACGAGGCGCCGACAGCATCCATAAGTTTAAGCTTGTTTTGTACAGGTTTGCCCGAATTGAATTACCGGCATTCGCTGAACTGTGGCTTTGGGTACCGGTAATTTGGCGGTTGGGTTGCTCCTTCTAGCCACCTTTCATCTCACCGCTTTTCCCCCGCACTTATACCCAATACCCTTACTCTCCCGCAAGCCTCGCTAAGCGCTAGAAAGCTGTATCGCAAACATTGTGTCACGTAATCCTTAACTAGCCACTCCATGGACGTACGGCAGGCCGCCCAGACTCGACTACGAGGATGGAGGACGTAACACATTTCAACCCATGCATGGCAAAGCATCACGACTAGGATGTCGACCTTCAGAAAGCTAGACGTGCCCTCCCACAGTACGCGTGCCTTTGCCCTGCCCTAACTTGTGGTTACATTTGGTTCGGTTTCTTCCTAACCCCCACAGTACATTGGAGTACACATGCAAGCTGCCAAGCAGGCACTAGCGTAGTCACCACTGCCATGGCTGCTTGCAGCAGAGGCGAGCGCCCATTGAAGCCGGAGCACGGGATGCCGTACAATGCATGTGTGGTGAGTTGATACCGACGAGGGGCACCTTTGCAGTGCTACTCGTATTGACGCGTATAGCGGAATGACCGTTACAATAGTTACGACTGTCAGGTCCAATTCGTGTTGACCCCCTTGGCATCGCTAAGTACAAAGTAACCCTCCATCGCAAACTATAAAACCTCCCTTACATTGGCTTACATTTCCATCCCAATCGGCTCAACAATAGCGTGTAAACACCCCTCTCTCTTCAAGTCATCATGACAACTCTCTCAGTGGCTCAAGGGGCCCCGCTCCCTGCCTCCCAACACACACACGCCAGTTATTTTAACACACGCCCCATCACCCAAGTTCTCTTCTTCGGAACTACGGTAACGGTCGTCGTTCATTCACCTTTTGAATTCACCCAACACGCACGGCTACGGACTAACGAACGAACGCTATTGTAACCGGTGGAGGGGCGTATACTGTAGCAGATAGTCAATAAGCAGTCCGTACGACATTCCCAGCGGCCCTTCCTACCCCACCAGGAAACAAGCAGCCGACGGTTAAAACTTCTAAAACCTCAAGTGAAACCTCGAGCAAAGCCAAGTAATTTGTTAAACAAGCCCGCGCAGCTCAAATGGCATGCAATGACATACTCCGGCGTCAAATCGTGAATGCATGCATGTTCAGCGGTACTTGTGTGTTGTACGAGTAATTAGGTGCTTCCATGCAGACCCCATCACCACAGCCCTAGGGAAGTGTTGTTACGTCGCCCTTTGTTACGTCGGCCAAAAGAAATCCAAACAACAACAAAACGCCTGTATTTACTTATCAGCCAGCCTCGCTTAACCCACCATTTCCCTTCGTCAGCAAGCGCACGCAACACAGGGAAACGCAAACGAATTGTGGCCTTTAAATTGCGCACCGAGACATTCCAGAAGGCCCCTACAATCAATCAAAAACAGAAACATACAGTTGCCTGGTGATGGGTGTTAACCACGAGTGTGCTGCAGCAGCAAAGATGAGTGGCAGGGATTCAGTTTCATGAGATTTGGGGTAACGCACAGCACAAGGCAACAAGGCTACGGATGTTTCCAACCGACGATTGGCGACCGCACGATAAATTCAATGGTCATCGCGCCAAACACATTATCGACAGCTATACCCGGCAGGGGCGGAACCACCGCCGCCAAGTTCAGCAACATGAAACGTCTCCCGCCGCAGCAAGAGATGTGTACGGCACGCGCAAGTTTTCACGGCAACGGAAACACTAACAACCAACTTGGTTTAACGCCACAAGTTTACGGTAAAAACAGCCAACGGAACGTCAAAGCCCCCACGTACGTGCAAACGAGGGCAACAGGGGCTGCGCATTATGCCTAAAAGCAGCCAAGCGTGCGTGCTCGCAGCGAACTGGTCACAGCCATCCATATGCCACTGACATGCAACATAGCTTGCCACAGCTTAGTATGCAACAGAGCATGCCTAGCACAGCTTGCAATATGCCCTACCGTCACCCCGCAACCCACAACATCATGTTTAGACCAACGTGCCGCGTGCCAACGACAACACCAGCAGCAAACACGAGCCCCTTATCCGTACATCCCCACAAACAAACAAGTGCAAACAAAGCCAAGATTACCAACAGCAATGTGGTGTGCTACCTCAACGGTGTACGGCAACAAGGACTAGCCACTGGATACCTCCAGGGCACAGCTAGCTGCGAGGAAGGGAACGCGTCCCTAGAACCACATCACATCACATCACACTGAACTATAAATAATTACGTGTAGTCTCATCGTCCAAGAGCGGGTTGCTACATAAGTACGGGTTGTCAAGACAGTGCATCAGCATCAGCAGCAGCAGCGCCAAGCTATCGGAAAGGAACAAACCTATACGTACGGTGGATCCATCAACAGCTGAACGCACATGCATGCATGCAAGCATTGATGCAACTCAGCAGATGCCCATCAAAAGCCACGGAGGCAAAGGACTCTCCTTTCAGGCGCCCCTACGAGCCCCCTTGACGTACGGCCCTATCTCAAGGCATGCCCTATAACCCCAAGTCAAGCTGCCCCAATCCGGAGCCAAGCTGCGCGCAAACCAACCAACAAGCGCGATTTACCATCGAGCGCCGCCTCGCCTCGGCCCCTTTTTATAATTCTCCGTTGCGTAGCAAACAGCCTTTGTTACCACCCACCATTTAAACGCAAGTCAAACCGGCCACAACCTACATAAACGTGCTACACGTGCGCGCGGTCTCTTTGTCCCATGCATGTTCATTCCCCGGACACACCTTTGCGGATGCGAGAGCGGGCATGTAGGGGCGTGTTCCCACCCATCATCAACCATCCACATCGCCGTCACCCGAATTCTGTCCCTTCTTGTTGCGGCGAGGGGAGCCCTGCAAGCAGCGAGCAGCAGCAGGCAGCGGGCAGGGAGCAGCACCAGGCGGCAGGCAGTGGGGCGCTACTGGGTGAGTGTACGACAGGAAAAACACACATCGGGGGCCAAACCGCTGTTTAGCTTCCCTTCACTCTGTGCCCTTGCCCGTAGCAGTGTGAACTCGAGGCGAGAAGTTGCATGGGATGGTTGTACACAAACCTAGTATCAACACCCTCCGGTTCATGGTTGCACCGCAGCAGCTACTTAGCCTGGTAGTCAGCCCAGCCGTTGCACCACCACCCAGCCACCACCACCACCCAGCCACGCAGCCCCACCCCTCACCTTCAGTACAGGCAGCCCGTTGCTGCTGAGCCACTTGCCCAGCGACGCGCCGCCGGGCACCACCTGGGGGGGGGTTGGGAGGGGGGGCAAACACAAGGAAACTGACGGGGCTGTGTGGGCAGGGGGGGTAACGCAGGAGGTGCGGCGGGCCCAGAGGGTATGCCGCATGTGCATGCGGGGTTTCCTCCCCTCCCCCGCCCTCACATACCCTTACACTATGTCCTTCCTCGCGGCCAGCTTTCCGTACACACCCGTACACACCCACCTTGATGCTGCGGTACCACTTGGCCATCATGCTGCCGCCCAGCCGCTCAAACGCGCTCCTGCTCACCATCTCCCCGCCCGCCTCAATGCACTTGCGGCCCTCAAGGTACGGCAGCACGTGGAACAGCCCAAGCACGCCGCCGCCGCGAGCCACCGCAGCACTCAGCCGCTCCTCCATCTCCCCTGCTGCCGTCGCCGCCGCATCATATGTCTCCAGCTTGCCGCCCTCCTCACCCGCCTCCTCCTCCTCCTCCTCTTCCTCGTTAAGGGCCTTACCAACGGCCTTCTTGCCGCCCCCGCGGCGTGAGGCGACCCCGCCGCGGCCGCCGGAGGAGGAGGAGGAGCACGCGTTGATTGCTGCCGTAGCCAGCGCCGCCACCTCCCCCGACACCGTAACTCTCACGGTGGCAGGCAACCTGCTGAGAAGCTTGCGGTGCTGCTCGGGAGGCAGGGAGCGGATGGAGCGGCTGCTGTTGCCGTTCAGACGCCGAGGCAGCGGGGCGGCGGAAGCGCCGCGGGAGCGGCCACCGCCGCCAGAGGGGGGAGAAGCTGACGGTGGCTTACCAGCTGGCTTCGTTTTCAGGGGCAAGAAGGTCGGCAGGAGTTGAGCCGCTGCTGCTGCCGCCGCCGCTGCCGCAGCAGCAGAAGCAGCAGTAGCAAGCTGCGCCGAGTGCTGTTGTGCGACAGGCGGAGGCGGCGAGGAGCCCGCAGGAGTCCTGCCCCCCGCTGCCGCTGCCGCCTCCGCTTCCAGCTCATGCCCCCTGGTGGCCGGCTGGTTGGGACCGTCCTCCGCCCCACCCAGCAGCGCACCCTGCCCGGGCCAGGCAAAGCAAAGCGCCGCGAAGGGGTCTCCAGCCAGCGACTCGCCTCCACCTCCACCTCCGCCGCCAGCAGCAGCAGCGACGGCAGAGGCGGCGGAAAGCGCCGCCGCGCCCGCTGCTTCTTGTGTCGCCGCCGCTGCAGCTCCGCCCGCCCGCAGCCCCCGAGGCAGCGCAGCAGCGCAGTCCTGTGGCGCTGCTACCTCCCCCATGCATACGTCGACACCCGCAGCATGCTGTACTGCGCCCCCCATGCACACGTCCACATCCACGTCAAGCTCGCCCACATCGAGCGCCTCCTCCTCCGCCAGCGCTGTAAAGATCTCATCAAACGCGGCGTCATCCAGCTGCATGGCAGATGCGGCTGCTGCGTCCACAGCATCCAGGGGGGCCGCCGCCGCCGGGGCAGCCGCAGCAGCGGGAGGGCCGGTGGTAGCGGGGGTGGTAGAAGCAGCAGCGGCAGCAGTAGGTAAGGCTGCTTCAGCCGCCGCCGCTGCCCTGGCCCCAGCAGCGGGAGTGCTCGGCGCTAGCAGGTGAAGCGCCGCGGATGACGCCGCCGCCGTCACGCCGCTGCCGTTGCCGTACCCTGCATCAAACATAGCCGTGTCAAAACGACTGTCGTACGCGGCCGAGGGTTGCAGCTGCTGCGGGGGCAGCAGCAGCGGCTGATGCTGCTGCCATGACAGCGGCGGCGGCGGTAGCGCGGGTAGCGCCAGCGATAAGGGCTGAGGCAGGGACATGCTGCACGCCAGCAGGCGCCGGCGCTTGAGAGCGCTGTCCTGCTGTTCAAACTGCTCGAACACCCGCAGGGGTGCAGGCGCAGAGGCGGCAGAGGCGAGGAGCGACGGCTGCATGGTAAACGGAGGTTGTAACGCGTGCCGCAATTGCTGCTGCTCCTGCTGTTGGTGCTGTTGGCCGTTCGCCAGGAACGCCCGCGGCGCCATGTCATCACCACCACAACCACCACCAAGCGAGGATGGCCTCGTCAACAACCGGCGCTTCAATGAGCCCCCAGCATCAACAGCAGCTGCAGCGCCGCACCCGCTCGTGCCGCCCACCCCTCTAGGAAGTGCTCCCCCATCGCTGCAGCTGTACGGCGGTACCCGTACCGGCCTGTCGTACAGCATTCCATGGGTACGGCTCGTGAAGCTGTTGCCGTACAGCTCTGCGGCACCGCCGATCGCGTCGTGATCTTCGTCCCCATGCACCGGCCAGGCCTCAGCATCCTCAGACCCCATTGAGCTAGCAACGCAGGCGTCCTTGCAGCCGGCGGCGGCGGCGCCCTGCTCCAGCGCGCCGCCGCTGCTTGAAGGAGGAAATTCCACCGCCGGTTGTGCGGCAGCAGCAGTAGAGGTAACTACTTGAGGGTGTCCGGCGGCACCCGTCATCCCCTCGTGCCAAAACGGCGCTCTAGCGGTGGCAGCAGCACGACTGTACGACGGATGGCCGTACATCCCTGGCCAGGGCCGCGGCGGCGGCAGCTGGTAGCCTGACGGCGGCGGCGGCAGCGGTGCGACGGCTCCGTAGCCGTCAACCCAGACCATGCGCCAGGGAGCCTGCAACCGGGCGTAGCGGTGGTGGCCACGGTAGTGGTGGAGCGGAGGCGGCGGGTGGTGGTACGGCACCGCTAGCATGCCAGGCTGCACGACGGCGCCGTTGGGTAGGACCAGCGGCGGCGGCGGCGGTGCAGCAGCGGGAGCGGAAGTAGCAGCAGCAGGAGCAGATGACGGAGCCGGCAGCATCTTCGTTCCTACCGCAGCAGGGGCTACTGCGGCAGGACCCTGTGCAGGCAACGCAACGGCAGCGCTGGCGCCGCCTTCCCTATCCACCTCCTTGCCTGCGTTACTGAATGGCTGCTGTTGCAGTAGCGATGACGGTGGTAGAGCAACATGGCCGTCCGCAGCGGCTGGCGGCGGGCTGGCGATGGCGAGGGAGGCTGCCGCTGCAGTTGCCTCGGCTGCCCCAGGCACATGCAGCCGCGGCTGGCGCTGCGGGTACAGGAGCGGGTGTGGGGCCGGCAGCCGCAGAGATGGACGCGAGGCAACCTCGCGCGGCAGCGGAGCCGCAGCTCCATCTTGTGTCGCGCTGTCGGACGCTGCAGGTGGTTCCTGTTGACCGCCGGCGCCGTACTCGACCCCCAGAGTTGCTGGCGGCGGCAGCAGGATTGGTTGAGGTACGAGGATGTAGCCGCTTGGCGGCCAGGGCCGGTAGCGAGGCGCGCAGAGCCAGGCGCCGGAGGAGGCGGGGCCGTAGGCAGGCTGCATGACTGCAGGCGGGTAGGGGTTAAGCTGCAGGCTTTGCTGCGGGGAGGTGGACGGGCCGGGGGCGGGAGCGTCGCTTGGGGGCTGCGCTGCGGGGAAGGGAGCAGGCAGCGGCCTGGGCTCAGCCGGCTTGCATGTGGTGGCTGAAGCGTTGGCTGCACTGTCATGTGTCGTGGAGTGCGTCAAGGACTCAGCGCTGACCAAAAGCTGGTCGCGCTGCGGACTGGGAGTATTGGGGAAGTCCGTGAAGCCGTTATCTGCAGTTTGAGCGATGCTTGGTGAGGTGTCGTGGTATGCCGCGTTGGACGGCTGCTCGTTGCGCTCGAGTTGCTCGGCTGGCTCATCCAGACGATGCGGGAAGGACGCACCCAGATACGACAGCGAAGCTTTAAAGCAATTGGCTGTTAAGCCACCTTGGTGATGAAAAGCCGCATCACTTAATTGCGACGATGAGCTGGCCGCGAAAACGGAGGAAGAATGACGGCAAGCAGTAACTGGAGGTGTCGTAACAGTGAAGTGGTCCGATGCCCGCTTGCTTGAGCAAGCTGCGTCGTTCAAGGCGCCCAAAGTGAACCCCATTGCGGTGGTCGTCGGTGATAACGTCGCTGAAGGAAAACGGGCATTGGCATCAATGGGATAACAGTTAGCGGCTTGCCCGAAGAAGCGCAAAATACAAAAGGGGAGCATTAGAGCAGCAAATAAGCCTTACAGTTTTTGTAATCAACGTCGCCATAGACTTCCCCATGTGGTAGTCCAGCACTGGGAAAATTTGCGACAACCCGCATATGGGTCGGAATCGTAGCATCTCCATGACTGCCCATGCAGCAAGCCTCAAAAGAACCTCCTGGATATGAGCCTGTTACGTCCTTGTGCAGAACCGAAACTCGGTCCATGGGCGTCCCAGACTTCACACTATCGCGCCCTTGAGGCAAAAGCCCTTAATACGGCTGCCTTGTTAAGGACGAAAGTTGAAGACGTTTAACTTAAGCGTTGCATGCGAGCCTGCAAAATTAAGATGCAGAGGTCACGTCTCTGTGGGTGGTTGCGGCCAACAGACTACGATTAATGAGCCTTTGGTCAATGAGAGAGTAACTTTTTTAAAACGAATAAATGTGCTTCATCTGGAATTATAGGGCTAGATACTGCATAGTTCAGCGCGAGTTCGGATAAACGTTCGCAACCAATCGGAACGGCCCACAAAAGCACAGGCTTGTACTCACCCCTGGCATGTAAATCCTTTGTTGAACGTATTAAATGCTCCTGTTTCTAATAATGCAGGCGCCCAGTTCACGTAAGCCAGTTATAGCTGATGTACAAGCAGTGAATTGTGATTCACCTTTGGCTAAACTCGGTAATAACACACTAGCGCTTTGCTGAGTGTTATACCAGCGCGTCTTTCTTAAAACCTTCTTCTTGGGCCAAACGTAGTCCCGGATAACCGTAACGTCCACTCCGATACTGGGAGTTGAGGTATGCTCATTGAATATTTTAGTTATACTACCACAAACATTAGACTACCAGAAACGTTAAGGCGTACAAACGCCTAGTGCGACAGTACGACTACGGCATAAGCGTACATATGAAGCATAAACACGCCTCGCTATCGGTATCTGTTGCAGCTAAACCCAACGCGTGACTAGTGCTGCAAACTGACACTTTTGCGCACTTGGAGTTTATTACGACAACCCGATCGGCCCTTGCCTTCTTTAGCTAAGTAGCATAACCTTGTCAGGTATTCAATATCACCTGCACCGTCCCAAGAAGTGTTGCCAATGAGAAGGCGCTCCAGGTGCATTTGTCCGGGAGCACGTTAATGCCTTAGTCAGGGCCTGTTAGGGACACTGGAAGACTGGATGGCCTGAATCAATATCTTGTGTCCCTAAAGGGCACGCCTCCGTCACGAACCCGTTCATGAACTATTCAGACGTCGGCAAACACGGAATTTCTGCTTCAGGAAGGCCCTACTTCTGTATGCCCTCCCTCTAAGCGCTCAAATAAACGCTTTTGAGCGCCGCGCCTATTCCTTGCCGATGTCTGTTCTTGTGACTATGCTTTGACAGATGGTGAACCACTCCCCTCTCTGCCGATAATGGTGCTAACTTACTGGAGAAGCCTCAAAAACGCTGCTGAAGAATGTTTGTCAGACGCGGACCAAGTTAACGCTGTCATGGATGCAAAGTGCAGGCAGCGCATACACCACAGCTAAAAGTGGATATGCCAGACTGTGCCTTCGTTGGCGCGCTCCACGCCCACAGCCCGGTCCGCACAGCGTAGGACAGTGATTGCGCGAGAACCGCGCATATGTCAACCTACTTCTAGACTGCCGAGGCTTTCCGCGGCCGGTGCACGGTGACGGACAAATGGTAGCCATTGCGCTCAAACGCAGCCTGTGCTTAGGACGTCCATGAGCCTCAAGCTGCAGTGCTGGGTAGCGGCGGCAGTCCGCCTGGGGCAAAACAGGGGTCCAACGACTGGCAGGTGGCCGGTGGGGAGGTTGGCAGGGCACGTCAAGCGTCACCCCTGGCCCTGCAAGGTCTCGCGTGTGTCATCCGGGCTGCTCTGTATCTACTGGTGTGAACATGCCAGGAGATACCGGCACTTCCCCGCACACCCAGAGTCACACCTGACACAGGGGCGCGTACCGTACTGGCACCCCGCCTCCCTGCAGACCCCTGCGGGCTGCGAACTACCGGTACCCCTCAGTTCCTTTACGGGTAACGTTACCAGATCTTCAGGTTGAGAGAAACTCGGCACGGCTTTGGCTTCAGCTAGTGGTCTGACCGCAATGGGGTTTGGTGGTGTGCCTTTACACGGGGGAGAGTCCGGCCTTCATATCCTTTTGAAGCATGCATGCATACCCGCCAGTCACCATCGCACCGAATTGAGGGGTGTACAGCACAGTCCACATGCAATCGCACTTGCCTACTGAGCGGGGAAAGGCGGTGGACGTCGCGGTAGGCTAGCAGGAGGGCATTAGCATGGAGCGAGGTTGGGCGCGGGGTTGTCGCATGTTTAGTGGTCCCGCCTTTGCTGTTGTGTGAGGCAGCTGTCATTGCATCCTTTTAGTGTACGCCCGAGATGTCTGGTTGCCATGTATGTTGCGCGTGGCTGCCCGCGCGTGGCTGCGAGGGCAGCCACGCGCTAGTACATGCGGGGGCTAAGGTGTAATTTGGTGCAACACCCAACTGTACAGCAACGCAGGCCATGACAGCAAACCTTTTCACCTGGTAAGCCGTACATAATTACACGATTTGCCTTAGCGTTGTTTGGTAATTAATCCGAGCTCTTTGAGGGGCCAACCGCTGTTGAGTCGTAGCTCACTGAAGGCGAGGAGAAGCTGTGGATAGATAGTTGAACGTCGAGTATATTAGAGATGTCACACAAGGCACAATGATGTTTGTGCAGTAAGAAATATAAACAAAAGAGTAGAGGACCCTGCGCTTCTAGATACCGCTCAGGACAAGAGAGTTGTTAACAATGCGCAAGAGCTTGAATAGTTTAGCATTAATAGCTGTTATAGCTACTGTACACTTTGCTTCATTTGCCAGCGGTACCAAGTCAGCTTCTGCTTGGCAGGTCGTTCATCCTCAGTCCCCAGACTCTGCTGGCACCAGTTACTATCCTTCCATACGCTTTGGTCATACCTTCAATGCGCACAAAGGCAAGCTGATCGCGACTCACGGATACTACTACGACCGTCAGCGTCACAATGCCACATGGCTCAGCGATACATGGGCGCTGGATGCCGTAAACCGCCGGCACACTTGGGAGCGCCTTTCCGACCATTACCCTCACGCTGATGCACACAGCTTCTACTCCGCTAAGCGCGACCCACCGACGCCGTGCGGCCGCTTTGGCCACGCTGCTGCCGTCGTGGGGGATGCATTGTACCTGTACGGCGGCCATGACGGAGGTTACAGCCGTACCAACCGCTCCGACTACCAGCCAGGTCACGATTTTGAAGAATTCTGGCGCTTCGACCTCAAATCCCACGCATGGTCTCTGCTCTGGCCCATCGCTTACGGTGGCCGCCCCGGGAAGCGCTACTTGGCAAGCGCCGCTGCCGTACAAGGCAGGTTTATCATGTACGGCGGTCTCGGCGAAGTCCAGGGAGAGGTCTGGTCGTACAATCCCGATGAGGACCGCTGGGAGCGTCTAGCGGACGAGGTGCCGGTGGAGAAGGGCGGCCCAGGCCGCCGCGCTGCGCACAGCCTCATCGGCTGGTCCGGCGGCGTGTCTGGAAAGACCGGTGTCGTACTGTACGGCGGCAGATCCGTACTGCCCAACGGCACCAACGTCGTACATGATGACGCCTGGTTCTTCGACCTAGCTTCCCGCAAATGGACCCGGCTGCAGCCTGTGATGCTGCAGCACAACGCCTCCTCCTCCACACCCTCCTCAGCTGCCGCTGCTGCCGCCGCTCCCCTGCTGGCGCCCCCGGCACGTGTCTACCATGCCGCCATGGACGTCGTACTGCCGTACACCCCTTCCTCTCCTGCAAAGCACAGCAGCAGCAGTGGCAGCAGCGGCCAGGCGTCCAAGCGTGCTCCCCACAAGCGGCGCGCAGTGCATGTGGGAGTGGTCGCGGGCGGCTCACTCGCCTCCCCCGCGATCAAGTGCGCCAAGGACGCCTGGGCCTTCTCACTGGATTGCGCCGCCAGCCGTATCTTCTGGACGCGACTGCCCGACTTCCCCGCGGCGTTGTACGACACCCGGGGTGCTGCATGGGACGGTACGGCATACCTGTACGGCGGGCACCTTTGCGCGCTGGAGTATCCGGATCAGGGGCTGTCGTACCCGTACTGGTACGTGAATGAGGTGTTGAGTTTGGATCTGAGGAAGGAGGCAGCGGTTGGGGCGCTGCTGGCTCGGGTGGGGGAGGGTGGCGAGGGAGCTGGTGGGGTTTGTGAGATGGAGCTGGACGAGGGACAGGAGGCGGCGGAGGGGGGTACAGGGAGGGGTAAGGAGGAGCTGTAGGGGTTGTTGGTGGGTGCGATTTGGGTAGGGATGTAGTGTAGGAAAGGGAGGTCTGCAGTTAGGACTTGGCTTGAAGGAGGGAAAGCGTGTAAGGTGCGTGTGTTGGACGCTTCAGCTTGGCAGCATGCCTTGAGAGGTGAGGCGGGGTTGTGGTCCTGTGCTGGGGGCAGGAGGTGGGTGAAGAAGAGGTGGAGAGGAGGGAGGGACCCCTCCAGTGGCACGCTGATCGGGTGTGATGGGTCGGATTGGATCGGATCAGATTCCGTGTCAGCATTGCGGCTGTGTGGGCGCTGGTAAGGGTGCGGGTGTGAGTAACGATGCTGGCGCTGCGACGCTGGCTTTGTGAGGCGCCTTTGGGTACTGTTGCTGCGGATACCGGGTACTTCCTACTTAGCCCAATGATGCTACGGTAATGATTGGGATTGTGGCCCTGTTGTGGGATGTATATTTCTGCTGACCGGCAGGGGCCGTGCTTGTCCTGCTGTTGTTTCTGTTGTGCGCTGCCGGAGTGATCCTTGCTGGCGTGTGGTATCATGCATGCGTGCGCTCGTGTTACGGGTGTGCTCTTGACGACTTCGTTCGCAAGGTGGACGTAAGGGTTACAGTGCGTGCATGACGTGCGGTGCGTGCTGCGCGTGCGTCGGAGAAGAGTTACAGATGTTAAAGAGGTTAGGCAGCGGGCCGAGCCAGCAGCCAGCGACCGTGTGACATGTGGCAGTGCGTGTTGGCGGGTTGGAGTGTGGCATGATGAGATGTAGACCTTGTGGATAGTACTCGTCGTGGAAACTTAGCTCCTGAGCCGCAAGGAGTCACGTGCTGTGTGACGGTGTATTTGTGCGGATGCGGGTGCGGATGTGGCTAGGGAGGGTGGCATTCAGGGGGTTAGACGTTTAGTGTTCCCTGCAGGGTTGTTTAGTTGCTCCTTGTAACCCCTGCACTGTCCCTGCTTCTCTCTTCGGCGCATTGATGTTGGTCCGCAGCTGGTCTCCTGATCTGCTGGGGGATGCCGACCTAGGTGCATGGGTGGTTTAATGGGAATAGGAAAATTGTAACCCGAAACGAGGTCATGCTGTTCTTATAACCATCCATGCGGAATTGCATGTTAGGCATTGCGTGGTACAAAACGTTTTACACGTCAATGAGGACAGGGCATAAGTAAGGTCGTACGGTTGTACGGCCTTCTATGCCGTACGGACCGTTGCGCTCTCTCCATCGCCGTTCCGGCAGCCCCCGCAGGACCCCCCGCGCCCAGACCACAATCGAGTCACCGGGAAGTTTCCTCACATGCGGAGGGCACACTAGCCCCTACTCATGGCAAGAAGAATGCTCGCTCCTAACGTTACGCTACCAGCCATTCGGTAGAGTAAGATGGTATCGCTACCAAACGGAGATGTCGCGCCCCGGTATCGGTGGTTAAGAGATGTCTACGGCGGTCTCCAAGCTTTATACAATGCTTTCACCACCATAGGGCCCCCATCGGCTTGAGAGGGCATAACCAGCCGCAACGGTAACAACAAGGTCAACGAACCCCAACTGGTACACCAGCCTGCATGTCAATGCACGACGAAGGCCTCTGGGCCATCACCAGGGTGTGCACACGCCTAGGCGCGCACCCAGCCTAGGGTCATGTATGTCATATGTGGCAACCGTTATGCCGTACCGTTAGCCGTTATGCCGTACCGTTAGCCGTTATGCCGTACAACTGCAAGCCAACCTACTCGGCTGCTGCTTCCTCCTTCTCTTCAGGTCCACGCCCCTGCTGGTCAGGTCTGCCTACTCCTCAACTCTCATCCCCTCTTCAGCCCCCTCCCGGATACACGAGGACACACTCCTTTTGTGCTTCCGTCCCTTCTCGCCCCCTTGAACGCCCCCGCGGCCCTGCAACGCCCCTTCCCCCTTTGCACCCTAGCATCCCCTTTCGTCTCCCCTACCCCACATATGGCTACCCCCCTACTCCTCTACCCCTCTGTACCCCAACACGCTATCACACAACCCCCCCCCAAACACACACACACGCGCCCCGCACGCCCACCGCACACCCCCTACTGCTGCGCTGCCAGCAGGTCCGCCAGGTGGTTGTAAAAGGCGGCGAAGTCGCGGTCGTGGTCGCGCATGGCCTGTCGTACCACCCCCACCTGCGCCTCCGGAACCAGGCTGAGCACCGCGCTGTGGCCGATGGCAGCGTGCTCCGCCTCGCCTGGGGGGAGGGAGGGGGGGGGGGGAGGGAGGGGGGAAGGAGAAAGGAGGGGGAGGGGGGAGGTAAGCGAAGGAAAGGGTGGGGGAGCGGCTGGAGCAGGTCTTAACAACCAAGCATAAGCACCAGCCTCCCTGTTATCGCCCCGCGGCCCCGCTTCAGGTTTTGCAAGCTCAGTATTCCTTCTTTCCCCCTCGTCAGTCCCCCCTCCTCAACCCCCCCCAAGGGAGAGTTGCTGCACTTATCATATATTATTCCCCCCCTCCCTTCCAGCCTCATTCAACACATCGGGTATTCTTCTTCCCCCCCCCTGCCTCTACGGTCAGGGTCAGTGTTTCCGCGGCTCAGTTTATCTAATCCCCCCTCTGCCTCTCTCACCCTCCGCATGCACCTCCAGGAACACCCAGTCCACGGTCTTGTGCGGGAACACGCGGGCGGCCAGCTGCCGGAAGGAGTCCAGCATCCAGGTCTTCTCATAGTCCGCAAGGTACTCGATGGCCAGGTTGTAACCCAGCGCGTAGCTGGCCTGGGGGGGGGAGGTGGCGGGGAAGGTGGGTTGGGGGGGGGGGCCGGGGGGGGGTGGTTTTGGTTTTGGTTTGGCTTAGAATGATATGTGGGGGGGAAGGACGAGGGGGCAAGGAGGGGGACAATGGCTTCTATCCTACCCCAGGGCATCCTGACCCCTGCGCCCTCACCTAGCCTCCCACGCACCCCCTTCTCCTCCCACGTCCTCCCCACATCTCCTCCTCCTCCGTCACTACAGTCTGTTCCCCTGCCCTCCCTTTCCGCGGCTCAGTTTATCTAATCCCACCCGTGCCCTCCCTCCCTCCCCCCCACCCCGCCCCCACCTGCTCCATGGCCCCCGCCCCCGCCCGCCCCCCCGCGCTGCCGATATCCCGCATCATGGCCTCGAACATGGCCGCTGCTGCGGGGGGCGGTTGGGGGGTGTCGGCCAGCAGCTGCGGCAGCGGGTAGCCGAAGAGGGAGGCGAAGAAGTCGGAGAAGAGCTCACGGTGGGTCTTGACTGGGGGAAGGGAGGGAAGGGAGGGAGAAGGGAGAGGGAGGGGAGGGAGGGGGAGAGGGAGGGGAGGGAGGGGGAGAGGGAGGGAGGGGGAAAGGGAGGGGAGGGAGAGGGAGGGGAGGGAGGGGGAGAGGGAGGGGAGGGAGGGGGAGAGGGAGGGGAGGGAGGGGAGGGAGGGGGAGAGGGAGGGATGGGAGAGGGAGGGGAGGGAGAAGGGAGAGGGAGGGGAGGGAGGGGAGGGAGAAGGGAGAGGGAGGGGAGGGAGGGGGAGAGGGAGGGGAGGGAGGGAGAGGGGAGGGTGAGGAAGGGGGTCGGAGGCTAGGAATCGTAAGAGGGCGTTGCGGTGGTTGCGAGTTCGTGGGTGTATTCAGAAGCTCATGCTGCCCCCCAAAAACACCTTTAGTTGATGTGTCAACCCGTCTACTACTTCCCCTTTCCCCCTCCCCGCCCCGACCTGCTGCGCAATCTAGCAATCTAGCAATCTAGCAATCTAGCAATCCGCCCTCCCCCCGCGGGCCTCCAGCTTGGGCAAACCAGTTCTACGCCCGCGATCCCCCTTTTAGCCCTCCCCTCCTCTCCCCCTTCTAGCCCAGTGCGGACTACCTCCCACCTCTACCCCCCCCCAACCCCCGCCCCTCTCACGTTGCGGTTGGCCGTTATGCATGCCGTACTCCCCGGCCAGCGGCTGGATCAGGTTCTTGAGCGCCGTGTCGCGGCGCACGTAGTCGGACACGCCAATGGTGCGCTGGACCTGTGGAGGGGAAAGGGGGAGAGAGGAGGGAGGAGGAGGGCAAGTTTGGGGCGGGCTGCGGAAAAGAAGTAGCAGACCTCAGGATACCCATGGTGATGCTGACATGTCCGCTGGCTGGCGGGGGGTGGGGGAGAGTGATGGGCGGAGGCGAAGGTGGCATGGAGGGTAAGAGAGGATGAGCGCCAACGCATGCCGGCATGCGGAGGCAGAGCGCCCAAACCCTCAGTAACACGTCCTCGGCAACCTATTCCTACATCCTCTCCGCTTCCTCAACCGGCGCGCATGCATACCCTGCTGCCCGGGGTCCCAGCCGGCTGCTCCCGTCACAAGCGGCCGGGGCCCCCCGGGCGGGCCCATGTGCCTCCCAAGTGCCGCACACCGCTTCCCTACCCTCCGACCCTCCGACCCCTAGCTACTAACCCACTTTCGGCCCCCCCCACCTCCCACCTCAGTTTTCCTTCGTCCTACCCCCACCTCCCACCCCACCCTCGCAACACCACCCGGATACCTCGCCTGCCTGCCATGCTTCCCCTGCTCCGCCGCCATCGTGCAGGACCCCCTTCCGCCCCTCCCCTCTCCCGCCCTCCTCCCCTCCGCCCCCCTCCCCCCCTCCGCACCATCAGCAGGCAGTGTGTGAAGGCGGGGTTGAAGGACTCCAAGTTGAAGCACAGCTCGTTGAACACGGGGCGCAGCACAGCCTCTGCAGGGGGGAGAGGGTGGGTGGGGTGTAGTGGGTGGTGTTATCAAGGTTATTCGAAACCGGCTGGGAAGAGTAGGGAGGGAGGGGAGGGGGATAGCGTTTATGGGCAGGATGATGATGTCCCAGCGCGCGGCCGGGGAGCCAGGGAGCGCCCGAGAGGGTGGTGGTGGGGTATGGTGGCCGGGAAAGGCGTTGGGCAGCAGGCTTACGGATCCCCACCCGTGCTATACCCGTGCTTCCCAAGCTACACCACAACCGCATATCGGTCTTCAACCGCCCCCGCCCCCCACCCCCCCGCAAACCTCAGAAACATCGCTATTGCGTGCACTTCTTTTATTCCCTGTCGATGTTTCCTAGCGGCCCCGTCGGCCCCTCCCACTACCATACCCCCGCCACCCCTGGGTTCTGGGATTGGGACTCCAGTTGCTTCACTTATCATGCATACACGATTCACCACCCCTGCCAGCAGGCATGCCAGCGCCTCACCCCAGCGGTCCGCGGGGATGTTGCGCAAGTTGTCGTTGAAGCGGCGCAGAGCGGCGATGGAGGCGCCCTGGTCCAGCTCAGCCTGTACGGCGGGGGTACGACATAGGGAGGAGGGGAGGAGGGGGAAGGAGGGAGGAACAGGGAGGAGGTGGAGGCGAGTGCGGGCGCGAGGATGACGTAGTGTTTAGAGGCAACGTCTACAATCGATGGGCATTTCCGGTGGTGAACGCTGCCGAACATTGTATGGAGTAAAGGTGGTTAGGCACGGTACCTCGAGGGCCTCGACTTGCTCCTTGGAAATAAGCTTGGGAAGGTCAGCACGCTCGGGGCCTGCGCACATGCACATGGCGCATAGTGTAATGCACCGCGAGGCCCGGAGAGCGAACCGCCCTGCGAACCCAAATTGCTAAATTGTAACTACCGGTTCCGTGAATGGTGATGTTCCACTGCTCCTTAGCCGGGGCTGCGACATTGCTCACCACCAGGTTACGGCGGGCCTGCAAAATTGCGAACCCTTGCGCTTCGCCAACTTCATAATTTGCCCAAGATCTAAGCAATCCGTCAATTGGTGTATCAAAGGCGCACCTTTGTGCTGCAGCGCACGCCGGCGCGAATGATGGCCGGAGCATGAGCTTTGGTGGTCGCCGAGCGGCTGACCACAACAGCAGCTGGCTTGCTGGAAAGTGCGAAGGCCATTTCGAGAGTGAATTGCTTCCAAGTAACAAAGCGACAGCGGCTTACAGCGACTAAAGTCGCGCGAAAGTAGTGGTCCAAATCAATGTAGGGCCTTGCTGTACAGTACGGTTCACTGGAGCTGTCTTTCTAGCCCAGTACAGCTTCGAATCCTTTCGGAGAACCTATATTGCGGACGTGCCTATATACTCATGAGGCCATTGTTATCCCTCATCGCCGTTCAAAGTTCGGACTGGCATGGTTCCTCACCTAGGGCTAAACCAAGCTGCAACAGGTTTGCCAACGAAACTATCTCGAACATTTGAACCCGCTTCTCCAAACTTGCGACAAACAGCATGCACAGCGTTTAGGCGATACGTGGGGGCAATACATGTGCGGCCATGATGGGCATGTGCCAGCGCAGGAGGGGCGGAAATCCGTAATGTTCAGTTCAGGAAAGCTTCCCCCCTCTTTTCTGTGTCTTTCTTAGCAGGGTTCACAGGGCATCAGCGCTCAGTTTGGTTTTCCACAAGGCATCGGCCCTATTGGGTGACTGTGGTGGGCACTGCCTCAACACAAGAGCCCCACACGTGCCTTGTACGCATTCCATGGTTACGCATAGTTGGAGCTATTGGGAATGCACCATTTGAGGGGTAGGAGTTTGGGGAAAAGAGGGTGGGGGCGCGCCGTGGCTCGACCCATGTGGCTTAACAGCAGCACTGGCCGGATACATCACTAACGGGAATCCATCACACCGAATGCATTCGGGCCTGCTGCAATGTATCTTTCAACACATGAGTTAGTAGTGGATACCGAGAAGAAGTTAATGCTGATATAACTACGAGGCAAACGTAAGCACCGGATTGTGCGTTTCCTTATATCCGCTTTACTTGTAACGCCATAAACAATGTTGCAAAAGCCCCGTAACTTCTTGTGCACGGACTTCCCCACCATATCACCCACGCCAGTGTGACCCCAATTAGAGCGGTGCCCTGAACCGTAAAACACATTCATCATATAGTAACACGTCTACCATGGAATGATGTATGGGAGGAGCAGAAAGGTTATGCGATGCCAAAGCAAGCCCGTTATAGGGCTTCCCTGGAGGAATCGTGTGCTGTCCCACTTTCGAGGCAAATCCCACTTTTAAAGACATAGAGAGTAGATGCTCAAAATAGTAACCTTAGGATAGGTGTTCGCATAACTGACACGAAATCGCATGTTCAGAAAACTTTCTCGTTCCACCCAAGTTAGACCGGAGTATTCGTGAAAGCCAGCTTTCGCTTTGTGGAAATGGAGGCCGACGGCTTAGACTTGGCTTCCTTCCTAACAGATGGCCCTGTGCCGGAAATGCCGGATGACCTTGACGAACTATTCACCGAGGAGCTGATGCAATTCCTCAACGCCGCTGAGACCGGCCAGCCCGCTTGCCAGCAGCACCAACCACTTTGTCATCAACAGCTTACACCAGTGCCGCTGGCTGTCGATGCTGTCGCTCCTACGAACATAGCACCTTCGCCTTCCTCGAGCTGCAGTCAGTCGAAGGGCACTAGCTCCCCATCGCCGGTGCCTGGCCCCGCAATGCCAGCCACAGCTTCAAATGCTGCGGCAGTACAGGTGCAGCCAGCGGTCGCTGCCTGCAGCGTTGTGCCGCGTCTGGTTACGACCACCGCGGCGCAACAAATGTGGACTGCTATGCTACAAGCGGCACTTGCGCCTCCTGCGGCGCCTTGTGTAGACGAGGCAAAGGCGCGAACAATGCAACCGGTTGGAACCAGCCGACAAGGTAGCCGCAACTGCTCAGCGGATAGTTCAGATACCGATCAAACTGATCATGAGATGGGCGACTCCAAGAGCAGGGCAGCTGGAAACAAGCGAAAAGCTCCGGAGGTAAGGAACCCTTGGTTGTTACTCGCATTATTTCGTATGCTAGGACTTTCTTGCCACTTGCATCCCGCGGCCTCGAACCAGTTGCAAAACACTTTGGTTTTCGCGCGCTTTACTTGCATCTGCCTAACACACGCTTGCCACTTGCCACTTCACCTCGAAGGTTGACTGGCGCCAAATCGAGGACCCGGCAGAGCGGCGGCGACAACGGAGGCTGGCGAAGAATCGGGTGACCGCGGCACGCTCCCGCGAACGAAAGAAGGCAATGTGGAGCGAGCTTGAAGAGAAGCTCAAGGTAACATTGCACACGCCGTTGGGAAGCATCAAACGAAGCGCATTCCTTACATGCTTACAAGCGTTCCAGCTTCACTCGGGTATCCAACTCCCACATGAAAGCCTGCTGCGGTTTTGTTTGTCCCTTTAACCCTGTCGACCAATACTATCCCTCCTCGTTGCTGCTTCCTTACATCCTTTGTTCCATTCCTGCCTCTTCCTCCGCAGAGCATGGAGGGCGAGAACATGCAGCTGCGGGCGATGCTAGAGCAATTCGCGCGCGAGAACGCTTCCCTAAAATCCCAGCTGCTCAACATCACGCGCGCTGGCTTCGGGCCGAACGGCGTCGCGGGCCTGTCTCAGGCTCGGGCGGGCAAGACCATGGATCCTGCTACGATCCTCCCAGTATTTATAGTTACATTGCTGGTGGTCTGCTCGCTCCTGCCTGGTGACAAGGCCTGCGCGCTGCTCGGCTCCGTGTTGCCGCTAGCGCTGGTGGCGAGCCTCATGCTTGGCGCTAACACGACCTCGGGGAAATCCTCCGCGCGCTCATTGGCCGGCGTGGACTGCCTTTTCCGCCTGCTGCACATGCTCGGTACGATGCTGTCGGGCAGCGGCAGCAGAACGCTGCACCGGAGCTTCAAGCGCCTGCTGTTTGAGCGGCACCGTTATCTGGGCCGCAGTGAGATGCGGAAGCTGGCAGCTTGCGCGGAGCAGCAGCTGCTGGTGCCTCAGGAGGAGCAGGAACAGGGGATAGAGCCTTGTAGCGGCAACGACGATGTGCGCGGCATGGTGGATGAGGTGCCGGAGTCGGCTGCAAAGCCCGGTGGCTTGCTTGCGTCCGCCGCTTCGCTGCTGCCGGCCTTGGTTAAGATGGAGTCGGTGTGCGGATGAGGAAGGCCGGATCGGGTCGTTGCTGTTGCTTAAGCTCTTGCAGCCCCGTGCACGGGGTTGTGTCGCTCTCCGGTTGATGCTAGGGTTGTTGCGTGGTCGTAAGGATTGCTCTTGGCGTTGCTCTTCGTTTCCAGCAGCTTGCACGGTAGGAGCCCGTACAGCTTGTGGTTCCGTACCTTTTCTTTACACGTTTCATTGACATAATTGACATGCATGAGGCTTTGGGTGTGACTGGTCTTTCCTGGATAATAGCTTCCACGCGTGTGCCAATGGCATGTTTAATTTGATTCGACATCTTTGTGGGTTCGGCATGTTGCAGGGAATGTTACTGGCTGTAAGATGTTTTTATCGTAGCTTGCAATAAGCATACTGTTTGACACAGAGGCCAATCTCTTCTGGGTAGTTGCTTTAAATGTTGCGCTGGGACGTGGAGGCGCGCTCTTCCAACAAAGTTGCCTACGTGCACGAGCGGTGTTTCCGCTGGCACAATGCTGTGGACGTAGCGCTTGGCCAATAACCCTAAGTGTTGCTTTGTGAGAACACCCGTACGACGTGTGTGGGGTTGCAGCTGGTAATGGTGGCGGCGTCACGGCGTTTTTGGTGTAGGATTGTCTTCTAAGTTTCTCCAACATCAACCAACAAAGCAGTGCGCGGGGAGTTTGAAACGTCGCTGTTGAAGTGCTGGAAGCAGCTGCTTCAAACTGTGCATGGTGGTGCAAGGGGAACGTCAGGAAGGAGGGCCGAGGGCGGGTTCGGCTCTTCGAGTTGTTGGTGTACATGTCATCGGAGCCACAACACGCCCGCCACACATGGGTTCCTGGGTTCTGACAGCGCGATTGACCTTGGATTTCGTTGTTTGGACGGCAGTTTACACAGACGATATCACTCTTCGGGGCTTACACAGAGATGAATACAATGAATTATGGCTTCTGCCGGGGGTTCCTAACTCCTTACGTGGGCCCTTCCTGGGGGCTGTGGTGCTGCACATACGGGTGTGCCTAACTTGGCCATTTGTAAGCGCGATATGATTCGCAGCAATCACCAGAAGCACCTCGCGCGCAAACACACGTATCGCACACTTGAATGCAAAAAATACCACAACTGCACTATACACATGCAGCCACTTCTTAATACTTGGTGACCACGGTGACGTCGTCCTCCTCCCCGGGTGCGCACAGCTCCACGTAATTGACATTGCCTGGCACAGCAGGTGGGAGGGCCGAGCAGTGAAATAGGGAGCTCAGGAGAATTCAGCTGGACAAGACAAAAAAGGAACTGAAAAACATAAAAGGCGTGTCTTTAGCCTCCTACCATTACACATGAACGTGACATGACATCTTTCCATTCCAACACCCCTTGACTCCAATCTTCATTACCTTCCCCCTAGCCCTCATGAAACCACTCTGCCCCCTACTCCTGTCTCCCCCATCTCCCTCCTCATCTCCCGCCCCCTTTGACTGCTGCTACTAACCCAATAAGCATGACTACACGCAATCCTATAATCCAGCCTAATGCGGAATATGTCTCACTTTCAACCACCACCCACCCAGCGCTCGCAGGTCCAGCCTCAGTGCCGGGTTGTGCGGCTCCAGCCTCCGGGCCGCCAACAAGTCCTCCGCCGCCTCCTCGTACCGCCGCAGCGCCTTCAGCGCCAGCCCCCGCCGCAGCAGCGCGCGGGCATTACGCGGCTGCAGCTGCAGCACCCGGCTGAAGTGGCTCAGCGCCGCCGCATGGTCGCCCGACACCTGGCACGCCTTTGCCAGCTCGTGCAGGAAGACGGGGTGGTGCGGCATGAGGCTGGCGGCGCGCTGGAAGGCGGACACCGCCTGGGAGGGGTGGCCGCAGCGGGCGTGGGCGCAGCCCAGCTGGTACCTGCGGAGGCAAGGGGTGGGGAAGGGAGAGGAGGCGGGAGGGGGGTGGGGGGAAGATGGACGAACTGACCCGCGGGTCGCATGCGGTTGCGACGGGTGTAGCCATAAATGGAGGGAGCGCAGATCAGGGCAGCAGGAGGGAGCCGCAATGCGACGATGGCCAAGGGCAGTCGACTCCCCAGCTTCAAAACCGGACGGTTGGGCTTTCATGACGCTGGAATGGGACGCACTCACCACAGGGAGGGGCTGAGGTCGGGCGAGCCCGAGCCGGAGGACATGAACTTGCGTGACTCCCACAGCGGCCCCTCGCCGCGCAGGACACCCTGGGGGCGGAGGGGGAGGTGGGGGGATGCGGTTGGAATGGGGTTAGGAGGATAGGAGTGAGAAGCACTCGAGATGAGGTTGGGGGTAGGAAGCGCTGAGCGGGGGAGCGGGCAGGGAGACAGGAGGACGAGGGAGAGCGACAAGCAGGGGGACAGGGGAAGTGGAAAACGGTTGCAGCCAACGGTTGCATGGGTGAGGCGGGGGCAGGACCAGAGGGCCTCCTCAGGTCAGTCCCCTCTCTCCTCCTTCCCCCTCCTCGTGCCTCCCCCCTCTCTCACCCCGCACAGCTCCGCCGCCCTGCCCAGGTCCTCCGCCGCCGCCACCACGTCGCCCGCCTCGAAGGCCAGCTGCGCGCCCCCCCGCGCGAACAGCAGCAGCGCGCTGCCGGGGCCGTCGGGGGGCAGGCAGGAGAGCGCGGAGGTGAGGTCGGAGATGGCCTGGGAGGGGGGGGGGTCAAGACCATACCAGGCCATAGGAAACCACAGGTTAGGGCAAAGCAATGGGGGTAGGAGACGGCGGGGGTGGAGGCGGGTTTGGAGGGTGGGAGGTGTGGTGGAGGGTGGAGGCCAGGAAGGTGGGTGGGTACAGCGCTGGATGCAAGTGGGGCGAGTCCTACCAGTTGTACCGCAGCATCTCGCTGCCGGTTCGGCCAGGCCGCGGAGCGAGGAGGCGCCGCCCCGCCCCGCCCCGCCCCCCCCATCATCGTAGGGTTTCTCGTTACGTCCCCTGCTCTCCCCCGTCCTCCTCCTCCCCCCCTCCTCGCTCATCAGTGTCTCATCATATATATTTTTTACCCCTCCTCGCTCCCCCGCCCACCTCTGGCCACCTGCCCATGTCCAGATAGCACTGCGCCCGGTCGTAGTAGAATCGCGCGTGTCGGGGGCTGCGGCGGATGGCTCGCGACAGGTAGCGCAGCGCCGCCCCGAACTGGCGCTCCTTGGCGGCCAGGCAGCCGCGCAGGTTGTAGACGGAGGCGGGGTCCTGAGGGGGGGGTGCATGGGGGTGGTGGGGGTGGGGAGGGGACGGGATGGGAGGGGTAAAGTGAAGGAGACTGACGAGGAACGAGGGTGTATGGGAGGTAAGGGGAGGGAGGGGAGGGGGGGAATGAGAGCAGGGAGGTTACGGTGGAACGCAGCGGTTATCGGGGAATCAGGGGCGGTGTTACCGGCGGGGGCTGGGCACTGAACGGGAGACGGATGTTGGGGGGTTTGGATGGGCGGTGTGCGCGTGGTGGAGAGGCGGGGCGTAAACGCAGGCCTCCGCACCTCCGGGTCATCCTCAGCGTGCCATCGTCTACCCCCCTTCCATTACCCCCAACTTTTCCCGCCCCCATTTTTTTGTTATCAACCCAACCCCCACCCACCTGTCCGTACAGTCTTGCCATCCTCAGGCTGTCCCGCAGCAGGTTGGGCAGGTGCGCAGCCACCGCACTCTGGGCCAGTGCGAAGTGCAGGCGGGCGCACACGGCGGGGGGCTGGTCGCCGTCCGACCGTACGGCAGCCAGGGCGGAGCGGAGGGCGGGGACGGCCTCTGTGTGGCGGTCCAGGTTCTGGGGTGGGGTGCGGGTGGAGGTGGGGGTGGGGGTGGGGTGGGGTATGTTGGTTGTGTAGGGGTATTCGAAAGTTCGGCTGGTAGTGGAAGGGGCGTGCATGAGCGTATGGGAGTAAGAAAATGGGTGCATGGGGGTCCATGTGTCGTGTGCCCGGGCAGCAGGGGTGCAATAACAGCGGGGCATGCGCTGGGTTGGGGCTGCCTACCTATCTGCCTCCACGGCCTACCTATCCCAACCCCCCTCCCGCTCCCCCCTCCCCCGCCCCCACCTGCAGCACCCTGCCCCTCGCCTCCATGACCCGCCAGTCCCGCGGCTGCAGCCCCGCCGCCGCGTCCAGCCGCTGAATGGCCTCGCTGTCCTCCCCGCGCAGGTGCAGCACCAGGCCCAGGTGGTACAGCGCGTGGAAGTAGCGCGGGTTGCGCTGGAGGGCCTGAGGGGGGGGGAGGCGGGGGGAAGGGAGGGGGGAGGAGAAGGGGGGGTGAAGGGAGGAGGAGGGGGGGTGGGGGTTCTAGTTACAGGAGCCCGTTCTCCCATACCCCTTTCCTCGCGCCCCCCCCCTTCACTGCACCCACTCGTGCGCTTCCCTTGCTCCCTGGCTCGCATCTCCAGCACCCATAAAACCACCTCCCGCCGCCACCGCCTTCCGCCCTGCCGCCCCCCACTTCCCCTCTCCCCCTCCACGCAAAACATTGGATATTCCTCTTTCCCTCCCCTCCCCCCCTCCCCCTCACCAGGTTGTCCCACGCCACCGCCTGCTCGTCCTGCCCCGCCCGCGCACACACCACCGCCTGGTAGTAGGGGTAGTGCGCGTGGTGCGGGTTGGCGGCGCGAGCGGCGTCCAGGTCGGCAGCAGCCTCGGACAGCCGACCCAGCGCCAGCAGCACCAGGCCTCTGCGGGGGGGGGAGGGGGGGAAGGGGGGGATAAGGAAACACACCAACTGTATGATGAGTCTCCAGGTGGGAGGGAAGGAGGAGGTTAAGATTGGGGAAAAAGAAGAGCCGTGCGAAGGAAGGGGGTAAGGAGGAAACATGTGGTAAACGCGTGAAGCATACGAGAAAGCTCCAGCATCGGTCCTAACATACCATACCCCCGAACCTCTCCTCCCGCACCGCATCGCGCCACCACTCCCACACGGCTCCCCCCCACCCCCCAAACCTCCCCTCCTCTCCCCTGCAGCACACCCCTCCCTCACCCCCATCCTCCCCCCACCCCCCACCTGTTGTACAGCACCTCTCCATCCTCGATCTCCCGGTCGTGTACGACTGCCGTACCCGGCATGCGGTTGGCCCCCCGCTGTACGACAAGCAGCAGCCCCCAGGGTATGTCGCCCGCCTCGCCCACGTCCACCGCGGTGGTGTCTGGTGGTGGCGGGGAGGGGAGGAGAGGGGTCAGAGATATACCCAAATCCACAGGTTAGGGCAAAGCAATGGGGGGAGGAGGGGATGGGAGGAGGGGTTATGGTAAAGCAGGTAAGCCAATTACAGTGCAAGCCAACCCGCCGAACCCACCGAGCCCGACACAGGAGGAAGAAGACGGGATTGCAGGTGCAAGTATGGGGCTTGCTCCCCACTCTCCTCCCCCTCCCCCGCACCTGTATCCAGCAGCTGTCGCCCCAACGGCCTTCCACCCCCTCCGCCGCCTTCCGCCGCCTTTCCCCCTGCCTCCGCCTTCCCCCCCGCTCCTCCTGCCCCTCCCCCCCCTCCTCCCCCTCCTCCTCTCCTCTCCACTTCCCGCCTCCTCTCCGCCTCCCTCCGCTCCGCCTCCTGCTTCCTCTCCTCCGCCATCCTCGCCTCCTGGTTGGACAGCGCCGCGTCAAAGCCCCTTAACGCCCCCTCCAGCGCGCTCCGCTTGTCCGCCTCCCACACCGTCTGACTCTCATTCTCCCGCACCACATCCGCAGCCCACTGCCGGGGATCAGCGGGAAGGTACACGGTGGGGAGGGGCTCTCCGCCCCCGCCTCCTCCTCCTCCTCCTCCTGCCGTACCGCCCCCCGTGATTCCACGGGCTTCCTCTCCCCCTCCCTCATCATCTGAGGAGCTGCTGCTGCTGCTGCTGTCGGTGCTGCTGCCGTCGTCACCCTGGTCACCCTCCTCCGGGTGACGGCCCCCCTGCCGCGTGCGGTGGTCTTGCTTGCCTGGTGCGGTGTCCCTGCCGGGATTGGAGGTGGAGGGGTGGTGGGAGGCGGAGGGGGAGGGGGCGGAGGGGGCGGTGGCGGGTCGGAGGCTGGGGTTGCGGCTGAGGCTGATGGGGGGCAGGCGGTGGGGGGCCTGCCCCACCGCCGCCACCTCCTCCTTCTCATCATCATCACCGTCATCATCCGAGTCCAGCAGGGAGGTGGCAGCTCGGCCGCGGGCATTCCTGCACGGGGAGCAGGAGGCGTTGGAGGAGCAACGGAAGCACAGTGGGGGTCAAAGACCATACCAAACCATAGGAGGCCACAAGTTAGGGCACAGTGGGGGCAGGACACGGTGGGGGCAGGCAGGCAGGCAGGGGAGGCAGCAGGTTCCAGCAGCAGCGGCAGCAGCAGCAACACATCGCTGCATGCCCGATGAGCTGGGACCCCTAGCTGCCCGCCCTCGGACGTGCCTGGCCTCCTCCTCCTCTCACTACCCCCCACCCGCCTCCCCAGCCCCCGCCTCCCCCCCACCCCACCCCACCTGAGTATTTCCGCTGTCGCCACCGCCGCCTGCACCCTGCCGCTGCCCGCCGCGTAGCGACGGCGGAGGCGGCTGGGGGAGCCCTCGACGGAGTCTACACGTGCAGGAGGGGGGAGGGCAAGGGGGCCGCACGGGGGGGGTCACAAGGGGGATGGGAGCTGGCCGCATGCCTCTGGGCCGCCTAGCCACCACCTTTCGACATGCCAGTGGCGTGGGAATGTCCCGAAGCTGAGAAGGCGGGTGTCGTTACTCGGCTTAAACCCGCGTAAACCTCCGCACGAAACTCCCCCTCCCCCTCCCTCCCCCGCCTCTTCCCCCATCCCCCCGCACCTGCCGTCGCCCCCCCCTCCCTCCGTGCCGCCGACACAGTCGCCATGCGCGCCGCTCGCTGCTTCAGCGCCGCCGCGGAGGCCGCGCGAGTGGCGGGCGACGAGTCGTCAAAGTCGCTCGTCACGGCGAGGTAGGCGGCGAGTGCGGCGTTGTTGGCGGCGGAGGCGGAGGCGCTCTGCTGGGCGGCGACGACGGAGAAGACGTCGAGCGCGCGAGCGTAGCGGCGGCGGGAGACGTACAGCACCCCTAGCACGGTCTGGTGGGAAGGGGAAGGGGGAAAAGAAGGGGGCCAAAGGGCAAACCAAACCACAAGTGATGGCAAAAAGATAAAGGGGATAGGAGGCGGCAGGGTGCCACAAGAAATGGGATGGTTAGCGGCCCTTCTAAAAACGAACGGGGAATGAGAGCAGGAAGGGTTGATGACTGAATGGCAGGACAGCGCCGGGACGTTGTCCTGTTCCTTCCCCTCACCTCCCTTCACCACCCCCCTTCGCCCTCCATGCGCTCATCCCCCCCCCTCCCCACCCCCGCCCCCTCACCCGCACAGTCATGCTGGTGGTGTTTTGCGCCATGGCCGCCTCCAGCTCGGTGATGGCGGCGTCCGTCTGACCCAGCATCCTGCAGGGTGGAGGCCCCGGGGGTGGGTAGAGGGTGGAGGGTGGGTAGAGGGTTGTGTATGGGCTTTTTGCTATGCTGCCTCTCCCGCTGGCCCCTCCTCCTCTATTTCCTCCCTCCCTCCCGCCCCCTCCCTCCTACTTGTAGCAGTATCCCCGGTTGAAGAGGCACTCGAAGATGGGTCGCCCCTCCGCCCGCAGCAGCCGCAGCGCCGCTCCGAAGCCCTCCAGCGCCGCCTGGAAGCGCCCCAGCCGCTCCAGCAGCAGCGCGCGGGAGAACTGGTAGTCGGCGTTCTGGGGGGGGGGGAGGGAAGAGGGTGGGTAGGGAAGGGGGAGGAGGGGAGTGTTAGAGAGAGGAGGGAAGAGGGGTGCGTTATAGGTGAAAGAGTGGAGGCCACCTGCGAGTAAAGGAGGTAGAGGTTAAGCTAGGTTAGGTTAGGTTATTGTTGCAAGTTGAAAGTTCTCTCTGCGCCGCCGCCGCCTCTCCTGTTTACAAAGCGTCGCCTTGCAGCCCCCCTCCCTCTCCTCCTCCTCCCCCTCTTCCCCCTCCCTCCGCCCTCCCTGCACCTGCGGCTCCCCCTCCGCCGCCCCGCTCGCGTCCTCCAGCGCCCCCTCCAGCTGCCCCAGGGCGGAGCGGGCGCGGCAGCGGGCAGCGCGGTAGGCGGGGCAGTCGCGCAGCCGGATGGCCTCGTCGTACCTGGGGGGGGGGGTCAAAGACCATACCAAACCATAGGAGACCACAAGTTAGGGCAAAGCAATGGGGGTTGGAGTTGGCAGGGGGGGGGCGGGCAGGAGGAGGGTGCGGGGAAAGGAAGAATACCCAATGTGTTGAATGAAAATTGTAAACAAGCTCCTGGTGTATGGAATCGGGGTAGGGAAGGAGAGGGGAAGGGAAGCAGGAAGAGAAGGGAAGAGAAGGGAAGAGAAGGGAAGAGAAGGGAAGAGAAGGGAAGAGAAGGGAAGAGAAGGGAAGAGAAGGGAAGAGAAGGGAAGAGAAGGGAAGAGAAGGGAAGAGCATACGTTGAATGGCAGTGGAAGAGGGAGGAGGGCGGGAGGAGGAATGGAGGAGGGAGGGTAAAGAGGAGATACTGGCAATGTGAGGAGGCATCACCATCTGCACCATGCGGCTGCGCGGGGCGCTAGTGGGCGATAGGGGGAGAGGATCGAGGGAGGAGGGAACGGAGGGAACGGGGAATGGGGCCGGAGTATACGCCAGGAGCGCAATGCAGTGCAGGGAGTGCACAGCATGGGTGCTGCGGAAAGGGCACCCAGGAGCCCCCAGCCAGCCAGCCAGCCAGCGCCACTGAGCAGGTGCAGTGAAGCCGACAGGGCCAGACCTGTGGCCTAGCATGATGTGCCACCACATGCCCAGCAGAGCAACTCAACCAGGAGACGGAAATCCCCTCCCTCCCCACCACTGCAGCGCCTCCTCGGGGCGGCCCCGGTCCAGGAAGATGCAGTTGGCCAGAGCCAGCAGGAAGCGCGGGTTGTCCGGCCAGGCGGTCACGGAGTGCAGTAGCAGCTGCTCCGCGTCCGCATGCCGGCTTTCGGAGGAGGCAACCTGGACACATGATGAGGAGCAGACAGGGAGAGAGAAGGGAGAGTATTAGGAAGTGAGAAGGAATGCTATCGAAGAATGGCATGGCCATGGCCTGTCGTGCAAGCGGTTCACGGCGAGAAAAGTTGCACAGGGGTTCCATACCTTCGCTTCATTATAGGCTGCTTGCGCCTGCTCGCGACGAGTCTTGACCTCGTTGCGCTCTTTGTAGGCGGTTGGCGACCAGTAGAAGACATTTGGCCGCACATGGTGTTCTGTGAATTCCCACGGCATAGCTTTATCTCGGCTGCTTTGCGCTTAGGGTGTGAGGTGCTCTACGCTACGCAAAACAGGATGGTAAGGTTGCCATCGGTGCAAGATATGTTACGACGGGCACGGATGAAAACGTTTTCACAAAGCTCTAGGTAGGTGTAAGTTGCAAGCATGTCGTCCTGCTGAACAGCATCGCAGCTGTTCTCGGTTGTCACTGACGCCCATCCCTGCTTGCTTCTATGCTCCGAAACCTGTATGGCCGTAAGTCCTTCGGAAATGCGTTTCGCCCATAGCATGGCTACATAGTCACACGGAGGTAGATGCATCAGCAGACAGCGTTGGGGTTACTATTTGCTTTCAGAGCCGAATTCCTGTTAGGAACTTACTACATTCCTACTGCCGAGCATTGTAAGAAGTCCGTAAGCATCCTCTACGTGCCGAACGGCTGCTCTGGAGCGTCACAATGGCTTACACGTCTAAGGGTTACCAGGTATGCGCAATGTCCGCATGCAAAGGCACTGTTGCTCGGTAGAGTAACACGGTGACGACCGAGGCCGAATAACCGCATACCAAATAGCTCTCTTTATACCAGGACTCTTACCGTATTGCGTTTCCCTTCCTTCCCAACGCTTGTAAACACATCCTTGTAGAAAAACTGGACGTATGAGCCCACCGGCGACAACTTCGAGGCACATGTGGGCCGAATCCTAGCTGGCGACCTGGACCTGAAGTCCAGCATGCGCACCCAAGCGCTGGAGCAGCTAGAAGCCAAGCGAGCGCTCAATGCCGCCGACCAACTTCGCGATGTCCCTGGATTGAACGCGCGAGTGGAAGACAGCCGCAAGCCCGGCAAGGTGGAGGCAGCTGGCTACATGTGGGTAGATCCACAGGGGCGTCCTCTGGCGCCGCCCGGGGAAGGAGCTCGCAAATCAGGCAGCGGTACTACTAACGCCGCCGCAGCATCAACAGCCTCAGCAGCCCGGCGCCCTAGGCTCACAGAGCGGCAAGCTGCGTGCGGGGCGATGGAGCCCGTACAGCGGTCCATGCACCTTTGGAGCCGGATAAACCCGGGGTGAGCTGCTGCTTGGTGTGGCTGGGGAAGGGGAAGGCCGACGGGTGAAGGGGGTGGCCAGGAAGGGCAAGGGGGCGAGTCCGTAGATCTTGTGTTGCGGTTATTGGGGGACCCCTCCGACCCTTCCCTCCCCCTCCGACCCTTCCCTCCCCCTCCGACCCTTCCCTCCCCCTCCGACCCTTCCCCCTTCCCTCCCCCTCCCCTGCCGCCAGCTGCGTCCCCGAGTCCTACCGCATGCCCCGCTCCACCTTCCGCGACCACTTCGGCCCCAAGGCGGACGCGGAGGACGCGGAGAAGCTGGACAAGACCAACCACTTCAAGAAGACCGACTTCTCGGAATACACCGAGGTGAAGCTCAAGCTGATGAACCACCTCAAGTAGCTAGTGAGGCGGAAGCAGGGGGTCCGGGATGGGGGGGGGGGTAAAGAGGAAACAACTAACTGACCATGTGATAAGGCATCATCATGGTTTGCGACATGTGAGCCAGCCCGACCCGTCCAGCCCAGGGTGGGTGGGGAAGAAGAGAGTGAAGCGCTGTCATCCCAAGCACGGCTGTGGGGTAGAGCTTGGAGGGGCATGAGGAGGAGGTGAAGGGGTGGGTTGCCATCATTAACATCAGTGGGGAGTGAGAGAACGGTTGCGAGGGGCGGTGCGGTTCTGAGGTGGCTCAAACACAAGGGGGCGGAGGGTGGCTGGTGGGAGGGGCAGGGGTACGAATGAATGTGCGCCTGGGCTTTGGGGATGAAGGAGGGAGGGTCTGGAGTTGGGATTGGGTGGGACGTTCCCTCCGGCTCCTGCCGCACCTCGAGTGCCCTTTTTTCTCCTTTTGGGGGTTCACCGCCCCGGGGGGCCGCTGCGTGAACCGGGGATTGGGGCTAAAGAGGTAACAAGCTAACCGTGTGAAGCAGGGATGTGAACCAACAGGACGTTCCAGGCATCCAGGGAGGGGTGTGCTGACCGGATTGACCGGCGAGCTGACCGGATGCCCGTATTGCCCATGTACCGTATGTGTGGAATATTTATATAGACGAGGTATGTATGGCTATGGAGTGCTGTGTGAGCTGGTTCTAATGCCTGTGATGGCTGTGATTCTTCTCCACTTTGCTGCGTGTGCGTGTGCGTGTGGGTTCTTGCATTGCACTGTGGTGGTGACGCACCGAGCGGGGACACAGAGCTGGGAGGGAAGGCACACGGGCCGGGGTGTGCTGAATACACACCCAGCCCGGTACCTGCCGTACACATTGAGACATTGACCAGGTCGGTCCAGCGGGCTGTGCATCGGGGTGTACCGCAACGGGGTCGTACGTCGTGTCGGTCCCGCCCTCGTGTGTAGGTTGTGTCAAGATACCTGGCTGCCAGGCGGAACGTACTGTGGGAGGGGCTTGGTAGGGGGTTTGGCAGGGGGTGCGTCCCGCCCTGGGGCTGGCTGTAGCACACTTCCGCAGGATGGGAAGTGAATGGGGAAAAGGGGGCAGGAAGAGGGGGAAGGATGATTTGCAGCAGCACTGTTAATTCATGGAACTGTACAGTACACATATTCCTGCTTGGATTTAAGAAACTTTCCTGCCTAACTGCCTTTATGGTTTTATATGGGTATATGCTTGAAGGCGCCGGGGTAACAGTAACCCAGTATCGTTTCTTTCCTCGGAGGGCATATCCAGTGTGGGCTCGGTGGGCCTACCCGTGTCCCGTGCCTCGTGTGCTAACCCTGTCCAGCCGCTTGTTGGGCAGGGCGCGTGATTGCCAGCGTTGCGCAATGCACACGAACACTTGAGCGCCCTTGAGGAAAGGAAATGGCATATGCATTCATCCTGAACAAGGTCGAAACCCATGTGCTTTGCTGCACGGGTGCCCAGCTTTGTAACAACAAGGAACGTGTCGTCTGGGCCCTGTCCCCCAGTAGCTCGATACTTGTACGGCGATCTCTCCTGTCTCATGAACGCTACACCCCCTTTCATTGCCGTACATCTTACGGTATGCAGCGACGGCCGCAGCACCAGCACTTGTTGCCAGTGTCCTGTGGCCTCTTAATACCACAGTGACCCATAGGTCACACCTTCAGAAGGTTGCCACGTGTGCCCCAGGCATCCCACAAGGCCGAACGAAAAACTATCGTCTTCTTCTTCGCTCTGAAAACTGCATGCCGCGTGACCTTGTTTGCATGCATGCATGCAACAGTGATGAAGGGTAGCCAGGCCCCTACTGCTTAGGCAGCGCCAGCGCTGTTGCACTATCTTGCTGGGTAATCCGGTTTGCAGCCGCCCATACGAAACAGCCTATCCCTCCTTACCATGTTGCAACCCTGGTGAAGCCTTTTATCATACGGTTATTTAGATGCTTCCTCATATTTATCCTTCAAAACACATAGACCGCCATGCAATACATAAAACCCGCCCACCCCTCCACAGCACTGTCACAGTTTCCACGCTTCCAGCAAGCACACCCCCGCAAGTCAGCACACGCCGCGAACGTGCCGTCCAGGGAGCCACAGCACGGGCCATGCAGCTAATAGCTCGGACCCTCAGCACGCCCTACCTATCCACGAAGCACCCCCTCCAACCCTCCACCCGGTCGAGGTGCAAGGGGGACAGCTCCGTTCCCCTCTAAAGCCGCCGACCCACCCACCGCCCCAACACAAGCCCCCCACACGACCACCTGCTGCCTGCCTTGCAACCCACCCAAGGTGACGCCATGACGCCATAATACAGTTAGTTCCGTTCTTCCTTTCTATCCTCCCGTGGTTTCCTATGGTTTGTTCTATTTGCACCCCTCCCCTCTACTCCTGCAGCCGAGTGAGCACCTCCGCCCCCCCCTCCCCGATCAGCAGTGTATGCTCCCACTGCGCTGCCAGACCCCGGTCGCGCGTCACCACCGTCCAGTTGTCGGACCAGGTGTCGCACTTGGAGCCGCCCTGGGGGAGGAGGAGGGGGAGGAGGAGGGGGAGGAGGGGGGGAGGAGGAGGGGAGGAGGAGGGGAGGAGGAGGGAAAAAATGAAATGGGGGGGTATGGGCTTAGGAGAGGGAGTGTGCGGGCGAGGGCCCATGCGTCATATGCCCCAGCGGCGCCGCGTATTGAACTTCCCACTGCTCTCCGTCCTCCCCCATGCCGACCTCCCTTCCCCACTGAGGCTCGCTCCAAACTACTTCCCAACCCCCACACCCCAGCCCTGCATGCACCCCAAGTCTCCCATCCTTCAGCTCCTCAACCGGGCCACTTCACCCCCTTCCCCCTTCCTTGCCATGTTGTCCAGCTTGTCAGTTTCTTCTTAACCCTTCCTTCCTCATAACATGATCCCCATCACTCACAATTGTCACAAACCATGGTTCCCTCTCCTTCTTTCCTCGCCATCTCCCCCTCCCCTTCACATTTCATTTATCTCCTCCCTTCCCCCCTGCACCCCCCACCCCCACACCTGCACCCCCCACCTCCCCACCTGCACCAGCATGGGCTCTATGGTGAAGCTCTCCCCCAGCTGCATCACCCCCGGAACGTTGTTCTTGGTGTGCAGGATGGTGGGGTGGCTGTGGAAGGCGCGACCCACTCCGTGACCCACGTAGTCGCGGATGACGCCGTAACGGTGCTTGTCGGCGATGGTCTGGAGGGGGGGGTGGAGAGGGAGGGTAAAGAGGAAACAACTAACTGACTAAGGGATAAGGCGTCAACATGGGTTGCAACATGTGAGCCAGCCCGACCCGCCCAGCCCGAGGGAGGGGGGGTGGGGGTTAAGAGGAAACATCTAACTGACCGTGTGAGGGGGGTAAAAAGATATAATGAGACACTGACGGGGGGGGAATGCAAAGGATGTGGAGGGCAGAGGGCGAGGAGGAGTACCGGTGGTGCATAGAGGCGTGAGAATTGGGAAGGGTACCTCCTCCTCGGTGCTTTCCTCCTCCCCCTCGGCAGCTTCTCTGTATATGCAACTCGGGCGTAAGAAGACCCCCCTCCTCCTCATCAAGCCCCTACCTGGATTGTTTTCCCGATTGCGTTGTACGGCACCCCGGGTCCGCAGACCTTGATGGCCTCCTCCAGGCAGTGCTTGGTCACCTCCACCAGCTCCCTGGCAGCGGGCTCCACCTCACCTGGGGGGAGATAAGGGGTAAATTTAGGACGCTGACGACATGAGGGGGTGAGGAGGGGTGAGGGGGGAGATGAGGGGGAAGGAGCATGCGCTGAATGATAGGGGGGCCGGAGGCGGGGAGCGGTAAGGAGAAAACACAAACCGTGTGTGACACATGTCGGCTCGCCCATGCCGGGTTGCCTCATGGCTGCCGACCCCTTCCCAGCCCTACCCAAGGACGGGAAGGGGCGCGGGGAGGCATGAGGGAGGGGCATGAGGGAGAGGCATGAGAGAGCCGCATGCTGCTGGGATGACTATCCACATCAACAAATGTGACAAACCCAGCGAACATCCCCACCCCTCCCTCCACCCGGGGAGAGATGCATGCGACGCCCATGGCCTGGCAGCGGCCGGCCCCCCTCCCTTGTAGAACCCTGCCGCCTCATTCCCCAATTGTTCTGCCCATTCGTGGTTTCCAATGGTTTGGCCTCTTCTGATTCTCCCCCACAGGTTTGGTCCATTCCCACCCCACTCCCCTCCCCACCCCCCTCCCCACTCACCCCCACTCCCCCCTCCACTCCCCACTCACCCCCACTCCCCCCTCCACTCCCCACTCACCCCCTCCCCCCACTCTCCCCTTCCCCCACTCACCCACAAGGAACATGCCGCTGGTGTCCCCGTGGTATCCGCCCAGGTAGACCGTCACGTCGATGTTGAGGATGTCGCCCGGCTCCAGGGGGCGGTCGTCGGGGATGCCGTGGCACACACACTCGTTGACGGAGGTGCACACGGACTTGGGGAACTTGCCTGGAGGGGAGCGGGGGGAGGGCGGGGGGAGGGGGCGGGGGTACGGGACCACAGACTGAGGGATAGCGGCCGGTACTGAATGGGACGGCGGGAGGGGGAAAAGGAGAATCCCTCGGGAGGGGGAGGGGGATTGGTGCAGGATATGGGTTTAAAAACTACATACCGAATTGATCGCACCCACCCAGTACCCCCGTCCCGCCCCCACCGTGCACGTCTCCTTCCCCTACAGTACAACCCCCCAGTACCCCCCCACACCTCCCAGCCATCTACCCCCCACCCCCCACCACCCACCATAGTTGAGCGGCGAGGGGTAGGCTCCCGCCCCCACAATCATCTCATGCACCGCCCGGTCTATCTCGTCCGTGGTGACCCCGGGTCGCACCAGCTCCCCCGCCATGCGCAACACGCGGGCAGCCAGCTGGCCGGAGGCGCGCATGTGCTGCTTGCCCTGGGAGGGGGTGTAGGAGGGGGGGGAAGGAGGAGGCGGGGAGGAGGAGGTGGCGGGGGTGGGGAAAAAAGAAATTCCAATGTGTGGTGTGATAGGAGGAGGCGGGGGGGGGGGAAAAGAGAACATCAGCTATGATGAATGGGACGGGAGGGGAGAGGACATGGGGCTTCTTCCTCATCTCTCTCGGCCCCGCCCCCCCCCCCATGTGGCACTGACCCCTTGTTCTGTAGCCCCTCCCACCTCCACCTCCCATCCCGTCCCCCACCTCCCAACACCCCTCCTCCACCCCCCCACCCCACCCCACCTGTTCATCGTGTATCTGGCTCTTATCGCTCCAGGGGGGCAGGTTGCCTCGGTCCGCGTAGGGCGGGCGGGGGATGTGGGGGGGCACGGGGAGCCGGGGGGACACCTTGCCGGGCTTCAGGGGCGGCCGGTTGTGGCTGTTGGAGGGGAGGGAAGGGAAGAAGGTGAGGGGCGGGGAAAGGCAGACCATGCGTTGAATGAAAGTGGCAGTCTGATGATACGCTCCTGGTGAACATCATAAGGGTGAATGAGAGGTTGATTGGGTGGGAAGGGGAGGGAGGCGGAGAGGGCTGCAGTGGGCAGCAGGTGCGGAGAGGCGAGGTAGGGGGTTGACACGGGAGCCGCCCCCGGGTGGCGGTGGCGGTGGGTGTGTGTGTAAAAAGAGGAAACTGACTGCGGTGGCAGTAGGGTGGGGGGCTGGCTTGTGGCTGGCTAGAGGGAGGGAGGGGAGGCCGCCCACCAGTCTTCCTCTCAACGGCCGGGCGTCATGATGTTCTGGACTGGTCTAGCACATCGGCCGGCAGGCGGCTGCCCGCCAGCTCAGCTCGCCTGTCAGCAACGAGCGGTTACCCAACGGTGAACCGGCAACCGGCAAGAGTCCCATGTGCCATGTCCCGCCGTGCCGGGCACAGCTGTCGCTGCCCCCTGCCTCCTCCACCCCCCCCCCTCGTCCTTTTCACGACACCTACCGCACCCCATAACGCAATGGGGAGCTATAGCACGGTGCTACTGCTGCTGCTGCTGCAGGCGTGGCAGTGGACGCATTCACATGGGCGAGTGCGTCTCTGTGTGTGAAGTGCCGTGTGTTGTGCAGGTGTAGGGTTTAGAGGCGGTAAGCAGGCAAGGAAAACCGCCTGCCATTGAGTACGGGTCGTGACCCAAAAGGTGATGGTGAGACAGCCGAAGGGCAAACCCTACTACGCGGAGGAATGCACGACGTGGGAGCTCCATCGGCAGCGATCACTTTGTAAGACAGGCAGGCTAATTTGCAGCAGGAAGGGCAAGACCAGTCGAAAAGCATGCCAATGGCCGCTCCGCACAGGACCCCGAACCATCAGAACGACGGTGCACCTACAGTGGTTTCGGTGAGGAGAAGCCGAGCCCAAAGCCCTTCGCCATGTTCCAAATTTGTCGATTGGCCGCCAGACGAGACGGATGCTGCGCGACGCACGACGCCAGTCCCTTCAACGCTGCAACGCCTCGGCCGCTGCAAAAGAGTCCACTCATATTTGTGATACTTGTTTATTAACAATTCTGTTTATCGCAAGCAACTCTATATAGTTGAAAAAAACACGAAGTTAGGCAAATGGTCGAGACGTAACCTAAGACTTAAGCACGTGTGTCGATAGGTTATACGCCCAATTGTGTTCTGGCTAAGTAACGCAGCTTGTGGAGCCAATCGTGGAAGGGAGCTTTGGTCTATGGCTCCGGAACCGTAGCGGTAGAGTTATTCTGGGTGCTCCCCACGCAGTAAAGGAAGTCGCTTCCTGTTGCTATTAGCGTTGAGACACAAATGCGACCTTCGAAATTCGGATGCTTCAACCACTAACCTGAACTGGTCCTTCTTTGGCCACACCCTTACGCGCTTGCGAACTATATCCCAAGATGCACCTTAGTTGCGCTAAATATGCTAGACATCGAGCATGTTGCTCAACCGGTCGCCTCCTCTTGCGCGCGCCTTCGTTACGACGAGTGGTTGCAGCGCGCGCTGGACGCGACAAGAGCAGAACGGACGAGGCGAGGGGAGGTCTGGACCCTTACCTTGAGGTTGCGGTGCCAAGGGACCAGCGACCAGTGAACCAGCTGGCGGAGTTAAAAGAGGACCCATTGTACAGCTGGTGAGTCAATCAATGCCATCACGCGGTGCATGCCAACACGCATATTTCGCGACGAGGCGTTCCGTACCAAAGCCATCTTTGTGACTTAAGCGCATTCATAATTGGGGAGGCGCCTCTGCGTGAAGCTCGGTGTGGTCTTAAGGGCATTAGGATGGCACTTGGATGTTACCCGGGTTGCGTTGCGTTGTCCGTTCTGCCAGCCGCTGGCTTCGCACGCACAACTTCCACTCCCGGCGCACGGGTCTGGTGGGGGCTGCTTCATGGACGGGTGCGGACGGTGCTGGTGACGCACTCCCCTACCCCTGATACTCTTGCTGAGGCTTTGGCGTTGGTCCTGGAGCCCTCCTGTGAATAGAACAGTGATACTGCTTGGGGCCAGTACAAGGTACTACCGCCGCTACTTGTAAGAGCAGCCCACCCTTTCCCCACCCTATCATCCGCAGGGGCGCCCTGGACGCTCCCCAGTACCTGCAGCGGCTTGCGGGCGTGTGGGCCTTCTTCTTCGCCGCGGTGGGGGGACCCATCGCCTACCAGACATTCGACCCCGTGCAGCAGGTCGGTGGGGAGAGAAGCATAGGCAAAGGGTGGGGTCGGGAGTAGTCAACGCATGGGTGGAAAGGGCAAGGATGGCAGAGGACGACGTTGCTGCGGGAGGCCGGCAGCGCGCCGCCCCCAACCTCCCCAGCCTTTGCCTACTCCCATCCACCCTCTGACCCCCCCGCCCTGCTCTTCCCGCTCACTCTCCCCCTCCTCCCCCCTCCCCTACCCTCCCAGCCCCTGGAGTGGTTCCTGGCCGGCAGCACGGGGTCGCTGGTGGTGGTGGCGGCGCTGGTGGCGCGCATCTACCTGGGCTGGAGTTACGTGGGGGAGCGGCTCATGGCAGCAGCGGTGCCGTACGAGGAAACCGGGTGGTGAGGCCTGGGCTGGGGGGGAAGGGGGACGAGGAGAGGGGAGCGGGGGAGAGGGGGGAGAATGCCGCTCGAAAACATAGTGGCGAAGCCTTAACAAGTTACCGTACAGCTCGCATCCGTTCCTTCCTCTTCCTCCTTACTCTGGCCCACTCACTCCCCCGCCCCCCTCTCCAGGTACGACGGCGAGCTGTTTGTGAAGCCGCCCGAGGTGCTGCTGCGGGACCGACTGCTGGGGTCGCACGAGGTGCGGCCGGTGCTGGCGCGGCTGCGGGGCGGGCTGCTGGGCGCGGCGGGGCTGACGGCGGGGAGCGCGGTGGTGCTGGCGGCGCTGCTGCGGACGGGGGCGGATGCGGACGGAATGATTGGTAAGGAGGGGTAAAAGTAAGGATGCTGACGAGGGGGAGGAGGAGGGAAAGGAGGGTGTGAGAGGGTGAGAGAGAAACGTAATGGCCAGGAGGAAGGGGAAGAAAAAGAAATTCCAAAGTGTGGTGTGATAATGATACAAGTTAGGGAGGGGAGCCTGGCCATTGGGGAAAAACAGACAAGGTTGCACCTTGGTCGCGGGGCCACCGAGTCCGAGATGAGAGCGATCGTGGCAGGGGGGAAGGCAGGGAGACGGATGCAGGGTAGGCAAGGAAGGGCAGGAAAGTAGGGAAACGGCTGCTCCCATGCAGCCCCCTTTGCCATTACCATCTTCGCTACTTCCCACTCCCTGTCCCTCCCCGCTCCCCCTCCCTTCCCTCCTCCCACCCCCAGGTCGCGCCGCCGCCCGCACCCCCCGCCAGGTCCTCGCCTCCGGAGTGCTCTACTCGCCGCCCGAGCGGGTGGCGGCGCTGGGGCAGCTGGCGGCGGACGACGCGGCGGCTGCAGCGGAGGCGGCTGCGCAGGGGGGCGTGCCGGGGTACTGCGGGGACCGGGCGCTGAGGGCGGCAGCGGGGGGGCAGTACTGCAGCAAGTTTGACCGGTGACCTGGGCTGGTTGGGCTGGTTGGATTGGATTGGGCTGGGTTTGGCGGTTGAGCGTTGTAAAGGAGTTACCTGTTGGCGGCTTAACTCAGCTGGTTGTTGCTGTTGGGGCAGTCTGCGGGGGACGAGGGGTAGGGGGTCTTGGTGCCGGGTGAGCTGGCAGATGAGAAGGGGGTTGGGAATGGCGGGTGAAGGCATCGGTACAGGGAGAGGAAGGGAGGGGAAGGAGTTGGAACAGGAAGAAGAAGGGAGAGCTTGAATGCAGGATGAAGTTTGCTAGGTGGTGTGGGTGGGGTGCTCGAGGGTGCCTGCTGAATGTACCAACGATTAAATTAGGTGATTGCAGGTGGCGTGGTTGCGGTACGGTTGGTGGTGCTATTTTTATTCCTCTTGTTGCTGTGTTTGTTGTAAGTCGAGAGCAGGCAGGGGTAAGGAGCGTTGGGTGGGTGGCTTTGAGGGAGGGCATGCGTTAGAGGGACGAGAAGATGGATGCGGTGAGGTAATTCAGTCGCGAGTGTGTAAAGCGTTGCTGTGTGAGAGGATTGCGGAGGAGGGTGCCTCTGGGACGTGAAGAAGGCTTGTGAGGCAGCAATTGGGTAGGGACTGCAGATCTGCAGTGGACACGGAAGCGGGCGAATCGCCATGTGGCAGAGCTATGCCTGTGTATCTGTTATGTACGTCAAGATGCCATGAAAGGTCCTCGTTCGGTGTGCTGGGTGCTGGCGCAGGCAATGATGGGCTGGAGTACACCACGATCTCGTACGGCAGTTGGGTTTCGCACGCACCTAGGCGAATCAGGTCGAGGAGTTTCCAATGTTTGTATTTTAGGTAGGGAACTTGTACATTGTCAGGAATAACCGACACGCACTTGTTAAACACTGAACAGGGCGAACACGGCGCACCGCGTAGACGGTTCTCGGCTGCAACACTTCTGCCGCGGCATTTGTCATGGCGACTGCTGAAGACCTAAAAGATGGTGCGTTAGTACGCTCAATTGTGGGATGCTGCCAACAGCCTGTGACTGTGTGAGGTGGGATTGCAGCTCTGCGCGAGAATCTGGAACGCAATGGAAAGCTTCGCAAAATAAAGGCACAACTACGAGCCGATGTTTACAGCGCCTTAAATACAAGCAGCGAGGTATGGCGACCAGCTGTCGATGATGTGCCATCTTGAAGAGCACTGCTGACAGCTGACAACTACAGGCCGACCAGAAGGCGGCACCGCAGCTTTCAAGTGAGAGCCTGCTCATTAACGAGCTCATCCGAGAGTACCTGGTGCGTCAATTTGTTTCTCGGCCATCCTTTGCTCCTTGTCAATGTGGTCAGTTATCATCACAGGTTTACAACCAGTACCGAGGCACGCTATCCGTCTTCTTACCAGGTACAAATCCTCAGCATGCTTACTGTGGCCGGGAAATAGGGTCCCGGTGTGTGTCACACCCACGCATGTGAGGTTGCTAGTACGTGGGCACTCGAAGGGAGCGCTACGCGCGTTCATAACAGATGCGATACTAATGCTGTTCTTGGGGAGCCCGAATAAACGAATGCATCGGGCCGTCCGTACATCACTTGCAGAGTCTGGACAGCCGGAGGTACGGCCGTTCGAGCGCTCATTCCTGGCGTCTCACCTCAACGTCCCGGAAGGACCAAACTCGGTGCAGCTGTAAGTCGGGCCAAGTCTCTTGTTCGTGGCTTGAACCTATCCGCTATCGGCTTAATTCTAGTCGTTTGCGCCACCTGTGCAGGCCTCTACTGTACTCCCTCGTCGAGATGGCGGCCAAGGGACGAACGCAGCCGCCACAGGCGAAACCCACTTGAGCGTCAACATGTACACCCATGAGCATCATGCCTTGCTGTGCTACTTGCTATGGTGTCGGCACGGCATGTACGGCGCACGCGAGTGCTGCCAAGTTCGCAACACCTAGCCAAAACGCATGCCTACGTTACAATAGTGACCTCGGGGAGCGCCACCCTTAAGAATCTGTCAGGTTATCCTTAGGGTGCCAATGCACCTGATGTAACATACTTCGTAACCCACACCGACATTGAGCTCACCGCTCCTCCATTTTCCCACATTATCACCACCTCATGTTATGGTCTCAATTTAACCTCATTCGTACGTCGTGTCCCTGCCAACGTATGCCGGCTGTCGGGCATTGACCTAGTGAAACATAAAGCAACCCCAATTCCCGGAACTTAACCCAACACCAAATCTTCATCCTGCAGCCTTGGCTACAGGCCATTAGGTTTCCGCACTCCAGCCGCCCAAAGTCAGCAGGCTGGTTCTTCACCGACCTACGTCAACCGTACCCTGAACAACCAAACTGCTTCTGCACGGCATGATGTTGCCGGTACATCTTTTTATATGTACACCGCGTTACTGTTATTGCGCAACCGTGCACGTCATAGCTTGCCGCATACCGCTACAACCGGTCGTCAGGGAGAAGCTCCTAGTCGCCTCAAGCCAGACTTACTCATGTCAGCATATCCCGGGTCCAGCCCTAGTCCTACAGGTTGCACCTTACACTACACCTAACCGGTTACAATGCCGGCCGTCTACACACTTGCGCCTCACCGTTGGCGGTTGCCAATCCCCAGTCCGTTGCGTGGGCCCTCGCTACCATTCTGCATGGCCTCGTAGTTGCGGCGGCGCATGCTGCGCGCCCGCAAGTTCTGGAGAGACTGCTCCTGCTCCTCCTTTGACAGCTTCTGCTTAGTCGCGAATGGGTGGTTCTGAGGCAGGTCGATCTCCTCGAGGGACAGCTTGTGATTGGCCCTGCACGTTTCCAATGGACAGAAGAGCAAGCAGTTCACTTGAAAGGCCCGACTGAGGCTTAGGTAAACTGAGCCGCACTGATTCACTGAGGACGCACTGATCACTGCGTGAGCCGGCTACAACCACGCAGGCAAGCATCGTGCACAGACATAAGAGAGGGCTTTACACGTCGTACACTGCGTGTACATTGTTCCCAATACTCGGATCAAGTACGTATGCATCTCCTCATCACCCTCTGCCCACAACGGCAAGCACGCATGTGTCTCACCGCTCCTTGCTTCGCCGGGCCCTGGCTGATTCGATTTGGTCTGGCGAGAGGTCCTCAATGCGAACCGTGTTCACGTCTGGGGGCAGCACAGGACAGCACTGTGAGCTAGGGAGGTCACGGAAGAAGGTGAGTCCACTATCGATCCCGGCCCAAAATGGCACGGTGGCACCCCACATACCTTTCATGACGTCGGCAAGGTGCATGTTTGCGCTATAGCGATAGGTGTTATCATCCAAGCTGCAATCAAGGGTAACGATTGATGTAAAGGTGGCTGGCTTATTGTGGTGCGACGTGTTTCAGTCAAGTAGCCATTGTGCGGTGCGCAAATACCCGTTGTTTCGAAGCTTCTTCACAACAATTGCAAGCAGGCCCAAAGCGCCAGCAGCCAAAGCAATGACTGGCAACGACAGTCCTCCGCGCGAAGAGCTTGCTTGCGAGGTGGCGGTGGCAACTTTAGGGTCAATGGAGACAACCGCGTTCTGCTGCTGGCGGGCAGTTGCACTGACACCAGTGCTGGTCAAGTTGCTTAGTTTAAAGCTTGCGTAAATCAATGTCTTCCCACGCTTTGTTCTGCAAGAGCGCGCGCACGGAGCGGCAAGGGCTTGTCTGCAAGGCACGCCCTGATGGCAAGGAAGAAGCGAAGAAGCCATCGTTTAGCTATAAACAGTAGCCTGTGGATAAGCACTTCACAAAGCTTGGCCTGGCTAGTGCCTGGAAACCTCCAAGCGGATTTCAAATCGCGAGATCCAGGTACGAGACACTAGCCTTCATATAGCACGCTGTGTTCTTATCATCAAGCTTCGTGAACCTCCACATAGCACCATATACTGCTTAGGGGATGAACTTGCTTGACCAGGATACCTGACGGTGACGACGAAGCACTTGTTACTTCGGAAATCCCCTACCTCATTCTGCTTTATCCTTTATGTTGTTTCCAACAATTTCCGCGTGGCCTACGCTTCAACAGGAAACGCAAGGGGCTTGGTTAGCGCTTTCGATAAGGGATGAATTGCGTGGGGCGGACTAGTAAAGGGATGCTTAAGGGTACGGGGGCCTCGTGTGTGGAGGAGGGGCAGTTCATGCACGTATCGTAGCCGGCGTGGGTCTAGGCTCAAGCGGGGCCCAACCTGGCTTGGGCAACGGTGGGGCTGGGCTTACTATCGTTTAAGTGTGACATGCAAAAGTATGTTCCCACTGCCACTTGCTGCTTCCAATCCAATGCGGCATGCTAGGGCAGTGTTGACATACTAGACTAAAGAACAGATCGCTGTGTTATTGGTTATGCATCACCGGGAACAAACGCTATGGGATTAGGCAGACGTGCAAATACCGGCATACTGATTGCAGGCATTTGCAATGACATGGGTACTGCCGAGGGTAGTATATCCAAAAGGTTTGTGCGGTTTAGGTGCTGTAACGCCGCGGGTGCTTAGGGGTGTTTGCTTTTGCGGGGCGGTGAGGGGCGGAACAATGCCTGTGGGGCGGGAACGGTGGAACGAGGAAGGGGGCCGAGTGAATGGTTAGCGAGGCAGCAGGGCATACATGACCCGATCAGTGCTGAGGGTGCGCGGGGAGCCGGTGGCTATTGCTGCTGCGTTGGCGAGGAAGGGACACCCGCACGCTGCACAACTTCTCGGTAACCGCTGGGGTTATTTTACCTCGAAATCCTTATGCATTAGTACACACATCATTGTGTTTTAGTTCGGGGAATTGCTTAGCTTAAGTTGTCTAGGGCTGCGTTCGGTGACGAAGGATGCAATGCGTCGCCATGTCCAATATTCAGGCTGGAGAAGTCGAGAACACTATACCTATAGCTTTTTATATGGCTTCGACGCAACGACATACCGCCAAGGAGGCGCAAAAAGGCCTCCTCGGCTCCATACTTGCATCTTCGTACTGCAGACCGGCTCAACGCATCGGTTGCCTTTGCGGTAGTCGCGCATCAGAAAAGGCTAGTTGTAGCGTACCAAAAGCTATCGTCTTTCCTTATAGTTGCTACCTTAGACTGAATGCTGTGCGTGCTTTGCGTGTCGCCGACGAGACTCTGTACCCAAACTGGCCTCATCACCGATTAAGCAACACTCGACGTTAACGATTTGGGTGCTCATATCTGCCTCCTAGACTGTCGTCAGCTAGGGCATTTCGGGCAGGTAGCCCTTGAGCGGATGTCATGCAGACCGGCAATTGAACGCTGACGAGGGGCATTCAACCAGGTTGCGGTAGCAATGTCACAGCTGCGGGTTGAGCAGCCCAGGCCACAGGGCGTGTATCCGCGATGCAGCTCTTGCGGCGAGGAAGCCATCGCCCGGATGGCGAAAACAGATAGCAACTACGGCAGGTGCGCTCCAAGCCGCGTCCGCCTGTCGCCTACTCCGGCTCGCCTCCTTACCTTAAAGCCTTACAATCGTTTAATGCGTTCCCTTTCCTCGGACCCATCGGCCCTTCGCCGCTGCTGCAACTTCCATTCCATCCGTCCTCCTCGCAACTCCTGTTTGTATCCTACCTTAGGTGGTTCTTCAAGTGCCCGCAAGACCACCCCAATCCCTGGTTCTGGGCGGATCAATACCTCCCACCAGCGGGCGGTGCCGCTGCTGCCGGCGCCAGGGCTGCCGGACCCCATGGCGCCCATGGAGCTGGGTCCGGTGCGGCGCACCCGCCTAGCACCCCGCAACAGCAGCACCCGGGGCCTCGAGGTGGGGCCATGCAACCCCAATCCCATAGTCCGCGCAGGAAACACTGATTTCACATGCACCCCTCATCTTCATTCCCATATCCCAACCGCCCCCTCTTGCCCCTTTGCCTTTCCCTTCCTCGCCAGCCTTTGGCTCTCCCGCCGGCGCAGTGCCTTTCCCGGGCTTTGGCAACGCGCCCCAAAGCCCGCAGCCGGCCCTCGTTAACCCCTACGCGGCACACCCCAACCCGCCCCCGGCACCCGGTGTGGGGCAGGGCATCGTTGTACATGTGCAGGTGAGGAGGGGTGTAGGAGCTGATGGGTGGGTGGGGTCAGGGTGGGGCATGGCACATGGGGGAGGAACAGGTGAGGAGCGGTGGAGGGCAATGTGGCTAGCATGCTGGAGTCGAGGCTGCTGCTTAATGGCCTCACTGCCTGCTGGTCACCCCCTCTGCTTGCCCCGCCTTTCTTTCCGCCCCCTCCCTTAACCCCTACCCCTAACCCTGACTTGTTATGTTTCCCTTCCTTCTCTCCCCCCTTCTCTTCTCTTCTCCCCCCCCCGTCCACACTTTGGAATTTCTTTTTTCCCCCGTCCCGAAGGTGTTGGACTCCTGCCGTCGCGAGCTGGGCCTCTCCCTGCCGGTGTTCCACGAGCCCTTCAGGGGCGTGTTCATGCAGCTGGACAGCAGGTGGGGGAGCGGGAGGGAGGTGGGGGAAAAAATGAAATTAGTGAAACAGCGGGAGGGAGGGAGGGGGAGGGAAACAATTATATAAGTGAAACAAGGGAGGGAGGATGAAAAGGGGAAGGAAGCAGGAAGAACGAAGCGGAGGTTTGGGTAGTAGGCTGGTGGGAAAGTTATCTGCAAAGAGGACTAACTGGCACGCACAACCCCAGGACAAACCCTGCCTGCATCGTCTGCGGCTTCCTCCCCCCTGATGCCCTCCGTCGCTCGCTCCCCCCTTCTTCTGCGGCTTCCTCCCCCTTCCCGCCCTAACCTGTCGCCTTGGTATATCTCCGGCCCTACTTCCCCTCCCCCCACTCCCCCCCTCCCCCAGGTCTACGGGTAGGCGCTGGGACCCGCACCTCAAGTGCTGGCGGGTGCGGGCGGACAGCTACCCGCAGGTGGGCGCCCGTGGGTGGGGGGAGGGGGGAGGGGAGGGGCCGGGGGGGGGAGAGGGGGGAGGGGGAGGGGTACGGCTGCGCTGGGGGTGAGGTGGGTAAGGACAGGAGCGAGTGGGGGAGAGAGGGCGGATGGGGTGGGCTGGCACCTCCCAAGGTCGGTAAGACTGTACGGCTGTTGCTTGCTTGCGTGTTTGCTTGTTTGTTCCCCTTCTGCCTTGTCTTCCCCCCCATCCCTACCCCAGACCCACCCCTCATCTGCAACCTGTTTTCCCGCTCCCTCCCTCCTGCTGCCCCCTCCCTCAGTTTCAGCAGCACCTGAGGCAGCACGGCTACCAGTTGAAGGTGGGGGTGGGAGTGGAGGGGAGGGAGGACCGGGAAGGGAGAGAGGGAGGCGCGTGGCGAGCCGCAGCGCTGCACGCCCCTGTTGTTGTTTTCCCGTCTGCCTCCGTTGTACTGGCCGGGGGTTTACCGAGGCCGTACATCCCCTCCTGCCGTACTACTAGCCTTCTTTCCCGCACCACCTCTCCCCCACACCTCCTCACTCCCTTCCCTGCCCCTCCTGGTGCTGCCCTGGGCAACGCAGGACGCGCCACCGGAGGTGAGGAGCCACCACCCCACCAGGGTGGAGGGGAGTTGGGGGGGGGGTATGTGGAGGGGGGGATGTGTGGAGCGGGGAAGGGGGAGTATGTGGAGTTGGGGGGCGTATGGTGAAGGGGGGGTATGGTGTGTGTGTTGGGGGGGGGGGGTATGTGGGGGCGCTCCGTGGCACCACAGGCGGGTTGCCCGCGACGCCTACCGGTAACCCCTATACCGTATGTTGTTGGCACCGCGGCCCCTGCTGCTCCATCCCTGACTGCCCTCCCCTCCCTGCCCCCCGGTGGATTGGGACTCCGTCGCTTCACTTCTTATCAAGTTTTGCCCCCCGGTGCCTCTTCTCTCTTCTCCCTCCCTCCTCTCCATCCTTCCCTCCCGCAGGTGATCTCCATCCTGGTGCACCACAACAGCCGCTTCAACCCCAAGATGAGCATGCAGGAGGCGGGGCAGGTAGGGGGGGGGGCAGGTAGGGGGGGGCAGGTAGGGGGGGGGCAGGTAGGGGGGGGGCAGGTAGGGGGGGGGGGCAGGTAGGGGGGGGGGGCAGGTAGGGGGGGGCAGGTAGGGGGGGCAGGTAGGGGGGGGCAGGTAGGGGGGGGCAGGTAGGGGGGGGGGCAGGTAGGGGGGGGGGGGAGGTAGGGGGGGGCAGGTAGGGGGGGGGCAGGTAGGGGGGGGGGCAGGTAGGGGGGGGGCAGGTAGGGGGGGGCAGGTAGGGGGGGGCAGGTAGGGGGGGGCAGGTAGGGGGGGGCAGGTAGGGGGGGGGCAGGTAGGGGGGGGGCAGGTAGGGGGGGGAGGTAGGGGGGGGAGGCAGGTAGGAGGGGGAGGCAGGTAGGGGGGGGAGGTAGGGGGGGGGAGGCAGGTAGGAGGGGGAGGCAGGTAGGAGAGGGGGGGGCAGTTGGGAGTGAGCCCATGAGAGCTGTCTTAGATCCCGGTGGTGAGCCCCGGAGGTGGGCGAGGTAGGGGTAGGGGCGGTTGTAGCGATTGGCGTGCAGTGACCTAGGGCGGGTGAGCTACGGATTCCCCGCCTGCACCTCTGTACCGTATGTCAACCTTGCATCCCCCACTGTCCCCGTAACACCCTCCCCCATTGTCTCCTTGCCCTCCCCCTTGCCACATGCCTGCATGAGCCTGTCTAGGGGATTGGGACTCCGTTGCTTCCCCTTGCCCCGTTGACCCCCTCTTCCCCCGCCCTCCCCCCCCCAGTTCGCCGTCTCCCGCGTGAGCCCCTCCCTGTGGTCGCGCCTGTTCCGCTACCAGCGCGAGGGGGTGGTGGCGGGCGTGCGGCTGGGCGGCCGCATGCTGCTGGCGGACGAGATGGGGCTGGGCAAGACGGTGCAGGTGGGGGGGGGGGAGTGGGGGGGAAGCGGAACAACTAACTGACTGAGGGATGAGGCGTCAACATGGGTGGGGGGGAGTGGGGGGGAAGTGGGGAGGAGGGGCTAACACACGTTTGGGGCGCTTTGCAGGAGGGGGAGGGGAGGGTTGTGAATGTGAGGGTTAAAGGAAGGCGGAAGTGGCGGTATGGGAGGTGCAGAGGGGGGAGGGCAGTACTAGCGCTCCGGCTGGCTGCACTGACCCACCCTGCTCCCACTACCTTCCTCTCCCGCTGCCTTCCCCTCCCGCTGCCTTCGCCTCCCGCTGCCTTCGCCTCCCGCTGCCTTCGCCTCCCACCTCGTTTCCCATCCCCATCTGCCCTTCTTTCGGCCCTTCCCCCCCCCTCCACTCACCACCACCCCCCTCCCCCCCTCTCCAGGCTCTCGCCCTGCTGAGCTGCTACCCCGAGGACTGGCCGCTGCTGGTGGTGTGCCCCACCAGTCTGAGGTACACCTGGCAGGCGGTGAGGGGGAGCGGGGAGGGAGGGGGGGCAGGACGGGGGGCAGGAGGGGGGAGGGAGGGGGGAGCTGGAGAGGTACCGGTAGATGGAGGAGCAGGGAGCGGGGAAATGTTGAAGGGGTATTGAACTCACTCACACCCTGGCTTTTCAATGCCCAAGTACCCGGTCCTCCCGGCTCCTCAACCCCTCCTCCAGCCCTCCTTAACCTGCCATCAACCCCCACTCCCCCACTCCCCCACCCCCCCACCCCCCCACCCTAGGCCATCCAGGAGTGGCTTCCCCCCTCACTGCGCCCCGCCGAGAGGGACCTCTGGCTCATCACCGCCTCCGCCGACTGGAAGAAGCTGGCGGAGCGGGCGGAGGACGGGGGAGGGCAGGGGGGGAGGAGGAGGAGGGGGAGGAGGGGAGAAGAGGAGGAGGCGGAGAGGCCGGAGGAGGAGCTGGAGGGAGGGTGGGAGGGAGGAGGGGGGGCGGGGCGACCCGTGGGTCAGCGGCCACACATCGCCATCGTGAGCTACGACCTGGCAGCCAAGATACCCAAGGAGTATGCGGCAAGGTAAGGGTCACCCAGGGCTGGGTCACGGGATGCTGGAGGCTGTGGCGGCATGCCTCCGAAACCCCACACCTCCCGCCGCTCATCCCTACCTCCCTACCAACTCCACCCTCCCGCCCCCTTCCGCGCCTCCCCCTCCTGCATGCCCGGCTCGCCCGCGCCCTTTCCCCTTCCCTAACATCTCCTCTGCCCTCCTCCGCCCCGGCACACACGGGAATCCACCATCTTAGCGGCAGTCCTATCGTACCACCCTCTCTTCTTGACTTGGCTGCTTTTGCCCCCCCCCCCCAATGCTCCCACCCTACCCATGCTCCCCCCCTCCCCTCCCCCCCCTGCTAGGTACCGTTCCATCATCTGCGATGAGAGCCACATGCTCAAGAGCCGCTCCACCGCTCGCTACCGGGGGCTGGCCCCGCTGGTGCGGCGGGCGGCGCGGGCGCTGCTGTGCACCGGCACCCCGCTGCTGAACAGACCCATCGAGATATGGCCGCAGGTGGGGGGTTTGGGGGGGGGGTGAGAGGGAAGGGAGATGAGGAGGGGGAGAGGGAGAGGAGGTGGGAGAGTAGCACATCTGGCCATGTGGCATGCGACAAGGCTCCACCTATAGTATTGCAGCCTTGCCAGGTGCATCCCCTTGCCAGCAGCCTTGTCAGATGGTTAGCTTTTTCTGCTTCCCCCCTCCTTCCCTTCCCTCCCCCCTCCCTCCCCTCCCTATCCCATCTCCTCTTCCCCCTCCCCCCCCCCGCGCCTCCCCCCCCCCCCAGGTGGACCTGCTGCGCCCCGGGCTGCTGGGCAGCTTCGACTCGTTCGGGGAGCGGTACTGCCTGTCACCACAGGCGCATGCGGCAAGGGTGAGGGGGGTGGGGTTGGGCAGGAACGGCAGGGGTGGGTAGGAATGGGAAGGCTGGGGTGGGGGACACAGGCTCTGCATGCGTGTGGCACCCTCCCTCTGCCTCTTCTCCAGCCCATCGCTTACACCCTCCTCCCCTTTCCCACCTCCTTACCGTCCCGCCTTACCCCTATCCACCGTACCCACCATCATGTCACCACCACCACCTTCAGCAACTGCAGCAGCAGCAGAAAGGAGGTCGCGGCGGCTACCCCCACCCCGGCCGCCCCCCCTACCCCGCCCCCTTCCCCGGCAGCGAGTACCGCGGCGCCGCCTGCCTGGGTGAGCTGCGGGCGGTGCTGGCGGAGTGCGTGATGACGCGGAGGAGCAAGCGGCAGGTGCTGGCGGACCTGCCGCCCAAGATACGGTGAGGGGGGGGGGAGGGAGGGGAGGGAGGGGGGGAGGTGGTGGGGAGGGGGGCGGTAGGGAAGGGAGGAGGGGGGAGAGGGGTAACGAGGAGCTGGACGGCTGGGAGAGGGAGTGTTATTACCGAGTTTGTCAACTGCCTTGCCGTCAATACAGAATTCCGCAATGCCCTCCCTCCCCTTCCCCTTCCCCTAACCTGTGGCTTCCGATGTTATGGGTTGGTCTTTGACCCCCCCTCCCCCCCCAGCACCAAGGTGCCCCTGCAGCCCTGCGACGACGACCTGCGCCCCGTGACGGTCGCACTGCGGGAGCTGGCGGGGGTGATGGCGGCGGAGGCGCGGGGGCAGCTGACAGGCAGGCAGGCGGAGGTGGAGAGGCAGAGGGTGAGAAGGGCAGGGGAGGGGAGGGTGGGGTGCTGGGTGGGGATGTTGCCGGCTGTTGTTGCCCCTGCAGTCAAACCCCGATATGCCTTTTGTCTGAAATACCTACTTGACAACGCCAACTTAGTATAAACCCCAACTCCTCTTCATCCCTCCTCCTTCCCTCCCCCCACCAAACCCGCAGGCCTGGACCGCCGCCTACCGCGCCACGGGCCCCGCCAAGTGCGCCGAGGCAGCGGCCTTCATCGACCGCCTGCTGCAGGTGTGGGGGAGGGGTGGGGGGAGCAGGTGGGGCTCGGGGAGTTGGGAAGAGAATGGATAGAGACGCATCTTGCGGTGGGGTGGGGGCGTGAACGTGTGTGGGTTTGGGGACCCTGTTGGAGTCAATAATGGCGGGGAGTGCTTTACTGCGGTAGCGCTGCAGCAGCGCTGTTACGCGGACTTTTAACCACCCTCCTGCCCTCCTGCCCTCCTGCTCCCCTCCTGCCCCTTTCCTCCTCCTCCACCTGCAGATCGACAAGGCGGGCCCAGGGGAGGACGACACGGAGACCGCCGCTGCGGCCCTGGACGAGGCAGCGGCAGCTGGAGGTGCTGGGGGTGGTGAGGGAGGTGGTGGTGCTGCTGATGGGGAGCAGGAGCATGAGGAGCAAGAGGAGGGCGAGGGCGGTGGTGGCCCGCCCAAGCTGCTGGTGTTCGCGCACCACCAGGAGGTGCTGGACAGGCTGGGGACGCACCTGAGACTGGTGGGGGGAGGCGGAGCGGGAGGGCGGGTGCTGTGGCGCGAAGCATGCACACCTTGAGATGTGGCGTGTGTTAAGAAAACTGCCCGCGAGTCGGAAAGCACTCCGCACCTGCCCCATGCTAGCTAAACCCCTCCTCCTCCCCTTCTCCTCCTACCCTCCCCTACCTTCCCCTCTGCTCTGCAGTCGCGTGTGCCCTTCATCCGCATCGACGGCCAGGTGCCCCCCCCTCAGCGTCAGAAGGCGGTCGCCTCCTTCCAGCGCACCGGCCCCCGCACCCCCCGCGTGGCGCTGCTGGCGCTGCATGCGGCGGGGGCGGGGCTGACGCTCACGGCGGCATCGGTGAGCACCAGGGAGGAGGGGGGAGGGGGATTAGTAGGGATACATATTCCGCATTAGGGGAAGGGGGAAGGGGGGGGGGAGTAAGGTGCTGTGAGCGAACGTAACGTGGCAGCCCGTGGTCAGAGTCCCTGTTGGGTGGGGCGGGGTGGGGCGGGGTGGTGTCCACTGCTCGAGATGACGTTCCCACGCCCCTCGGTTCTTACCGCGTTACCGGCCTGCTGCCCTGCAGCCGGCCCCCCTCACACCTTCCTGCCTACCTGCCTGCCTGCCCCCTCCCCACATTTGGTTTCCCCTCCTCTGCTCTCCCTCCCTCTCCCCGCCTTGTCCCCATCCCCTCCTCCCCCTCCCCCCCCAACTCCTACCCCCATTGCTTTGCCCTAACTTGTGGTCTCCTATGGTTTGGTGTGACCCCCCAGGTTGTTGTGTTTGTGGAGTTGGACCAGGCCCCCGCGCTGCTGGCTCAGGCGGAGGACCGGGCGCACCGGGTGGGGCAGGCGGGGCACGTGCACGTGTACTACCTCATGGGGAAAGGTAGGGGCGGGGAGAGGGGGGGATAGGGGGGGAGGAAATGGGTGGGGCTTCCTCGGTTTGGTGAGGGTTTTATGCTTTACGTGCTAATGCTCTGCCGCAGAGGCGGCGGAGAAGGGCGTCGCATTTATATGACGGGGTACGGGTGGGAACATGTGGGTCCATGTATCACGTAATTCAATCTTGAGCCTGCCCGCCCCGCCTCGCCTCCCCTCCGGTACCCTCCAGGCACCCTGGACGAGCGCATCTGGGCCATGTTGGAGCGCAAGCGCTTCGCAATGGGGGCGGCGCTGGATGCCGGGGAGGAGGAAGTACGGCAGCAGGAAGGGGAGGAGGAGGAGGACGAGCAGGGCGGACGTCGTCGTACGGCAGATGCGGATGAGGACCTTGTAAACGCGGCGGCGTTCCGAGGGGATGATGTACCTCACCGGCAGTACGGAGGAGGGGCGTACGGAGGAGGCGAAGAGGAGGAGCAGTACGGCACTGGAGCTGCTGCTGCTGGCGGCGGCGGTGCTAGCGGCAGTGGCGCTGGGGTTGCCGCAGCACCTGCTTTCGACTGGATGCCCGTACCTAAGAAGTCCCCTGCACCACCGCCCCAGGCAGCTGCTGCAACACCGCCGCGGCGGGCAGCAGCGGCAGCAACAGGGGCCGCTGCCTCCCCGCCTGCTGCCGTTGCGACGCCGCAACGAAGCTCCCGGCGGCAACTGCCCGCATCCCGAACACAGCATCCGCACTCGCAGCAACAGCAGCAGTCTCCGCTGCCCCAGCCGCCGCCTCCTCCCCCCGCTGCGACAGCCGCCCCGCACCTTCCGCCCCAGGTGTGGCCCTGGGAGGAGCACTGGAGCGGGGTGCACCAGGACGACACAGCGGCAGCGGGGGCGGGGGAGGCGGCAGCAGGAGGGGGGGCGGCAGGGGCGGCAGCGGGGGCAGCGGAGGGGAGAGGGAAGGGGCGAAGGGAGGAGGCCGCGGGAGGAACAGCAGCAGCGGTAGGTGGGTCTCAGCAGCAGGGGAAGCGGGGGCACGCGGGCGAGGAGAGGGAGGAGGAGAGGGAGGAGGGCGATGTGTGGGAGGTGGCGGAGGTGGTGGGGGGCAGCCAGCACAACAGCAGCAACCGCTCGGGAGGAGGAGGAGGTAGCAGGGGAGGAAGAGCAGGAGGAGGAAGTTCGAGTCCGATGATGGACCTGACGCAGGGGTCTGATGGTGAGGAAGAGGAGGAGGGTGCGGGCAGAGGACCGACGGTAAAGCGGCGTAGGCGGGTTGAGGGTGCAGCAACAGGAGGAGGAGGAGGAGGTGGTGCGGGCAGCAGCAGCGGGACTGGGGCGGCGTCTGGGTGCGGCGGCAGTGGGGGATCCCGCAGACGCGGCAGTGGGGGCCCGGGTGTGAAGATGGAGGCGATTGAAATCGAGTAGCGTTCGTTTGTGGAAGTGGTTGGGGTCCTTGATCAGTTGGGTTTGTTGACCTGATTGTTGTGTACGACTTACTGGGTGGCGCTTGGCCGGGCTGGCAGGGGTATGTTTCCTCGAATAACGCATCTGGTGTACTTAGCGACAAACATTGGCGAGCGGTTGGCCATGAAACCACGAAACATATGACTATTGTTGTTGTCATTGGCTGAATTGCATTGCATTGCAATGGAGAAGCGCGCCTGCAAACCTCGGTAAAGGGCGGCGTTGCTTGATCCGTTGTCCTCACTTCCCGAAGGGCCATGCTAGCGTTGCCAACATGTGATGCTGTATGGAAGTTTATGCGCAGCCTCAGTCGCTCAAGCGAGCTGACACCTTCGCGCAGCTTCCTGTCGTATATGGGGGACAACGGTAAACGGAATGCAAAGTATCGCCATTGAGCACAGGCAGCCGCTGGACAGTTTGCGTAGTGTAAATGCAGGCAGGGCAAAGGCGGATCCTGGCTAAAGTCGCAAGAAGGCTTATTGTACTGCATTGCAGCTAGCAAACAGCAGCTCCTCCCATGACAACAGGTAGCATTTGACAAACGCTGCTATAGGAAGCTAACGTGAGGCATGGCTACGGCGGCTGCGGAAGACAGAATCTTTAGCATCGACGCCAACGACATGCGCTCAATAAGCGCAGTCCCTTTCCCGACCAAAGCACGCTGACAAATCCAGGCTACTACAAGCAGCGAAGCAACATCAAGTCGCAACGGTTCCTCAATCGTATAAGACCCGTGCTTGAGCACGGACTCCATGCCAACATGAAAGGTGCAAATAAGCGACAACAGGTCACTTACAGTGAGGGAAACGTAAGCATTAGAGATGTTTGCAAGGTAGCACCATGTGCGCATACATGTAAGGGGGGATGGGGGTATGGGGGAAGGGGCACCAGCCCCTTCCCCCACCACGATGCATACGGTGCCAAAGGAGACATGAGCTCCACAGACGGCTGCGACACTCCACGCTAGTTGCCGCAAAGCATCTGTATGTTGTTATGAACAGCTTCAGGGAGTTGGAAAGGATGTCGTACTCGATCGGAAGTAACGGCATTACAGGGCGTTTACACCTGGAAGGTTTGTAATCCTAGCTGACAGTGACTTACCATGAACGTGATTATAAACGGACTAACATGGCGCCGTTTACACGTGCGGCGCCGAACCCATGCTTTAGGTTCGGAACAGGCATCGGCAAACGCTGGATAACGGTTTCGGGAAGGGGACAACTTCGGTCAATAGTGCGTTTTTTCCTGGATGTGTACCAGGCCGTTGGGAAACACCGTAGTTAAGCGTTTGGATGGGTTTCTCCTGCCTCTTTGCTCCATCGCACAGACAAAGGTCAGAATGTTCCAAGCAGTGCTCAAGAGGAGAGCGGTATAGGTACGTTGTTAAGTCTTCCCCGCTGCCCTCCTTTACCTGCCCATGCTGTTGTGCCCCCTTGGCAACTTCATCAATCCATGCCCTCAGCCGCTTCCCTGCTTCCAACCCCCCTCTCCCCAGGTGCTCCATCCACGGCAAGCTTAAGAAGGCGCCCGAAACGTACAACACGTACGACCTCACTGCCACCACCGATGCCTGTGAGGTTGATGGCACCGCCTACCAGGTTGATCTGCACTTCAATGACGAGGCGCTGCACACCTACCTTGGGTTTGCAGCGACCAAGGCCAGCGCCATCATGCTGGATAGCCGACGCAGGTTCAACAAGCTCGTGCTGACCCCCCTGCTGGACATGTCCGATGACACCCTCACCCTCACTGATGCCACCCTCCGCGTGTGAGTTTGGCACCACACCTTCTGCCCTGTCTTCCTCACAGTGATCCCCACCGCCTGTTCACCATGCTCCCCGCTGCACCTGCTGCTTGGCGCTCTTATACGGTGCTTGAGACCACGCCCTCCTAACCTGACAGCCCACCATCCATTGCAACCCGCTCCACTCTGACCCCCGCGCCAACCCCACCTTGCCTCTATCCATTCAGGGGCCAAAAACATGTCTTCGTCACCATCCGCGCCTTCCATAAGGCTGAGGATCCAAGCGAAGACATGTGCGACGATGGCTGCGCTCCAGGCAGCCCCAACGGAAGCGCGCCCTCTGACACCACTGGCGATGGCGCTGAGGCCTCCGATGCCCACGCCTCGGAGGATGAGGGGTCCTCATGCAGTCGTGATGGCAGTGGGGAGGATAGTGAGGAGGGGGGTGGGGCCGAATCGGGGTCTGAGGACGACAATGTGCCCACGGGCAGCGATGTGGAAGAGTCCGCTAGCCTCGGAACCGGTTCTGATGGGGAGGATGAGGGAGACGATGGCACGGATAGCCACAGCCATGACACGGATGACTGTGACAGCGAGGGCAACTGAGACCTAGGACCGCGCGTCAGGTACTGCGCACGCCTCTGATACCCTCAGGTTGCCAACGCAATTGCCACCCTCCTTAGCAAGACGACTTGCCCCTGAGGGCCGCAGACGTGGGGCTTGCCGGTGCAATGTGCCAATTGGCACTGTACAGGCCTGCTGCTCGACCCTGTAAACGCCTCCCTCATATGCCCCTACGCTGCCAACTGACCCTCCCAAACGGTACACCCATGTGCCACTCTCCTAAGCAGCCTCGTCAGCCCCCCAGCCTGCTAGCTGACCCTACCAAATGTAATTCCCCGCGCCACCCTCGTAAACGGCCGCGAAACCGCACCCAACCACCCCACCGCACCGTCACCCCTCCATGCTACACACCCATTTGGGCAGGCCACGAGATCGCTTCGGCCTGGTCTTGTTGCTGCCTTGCCACCCCAACTAACGCCGGCTTCTGAGGTTGATGCTTGGCAGGTATTGGTTCCACGTTTGGGGTGGCAGTTGCCTCATGTTGGCGCCGTTCCTTTGAGGAATCTGTCGGTTAGGATGGCAGCCTAGGATGCCGAAGGTGGGGTTCCCAGGATGCCGAAGGTGGCAGCCTAGGATGCCGAAGGTGGCCATCCTAACCGACAGATTCCGAGGAGCCGAGGAAGTTAGGATCGGCATCCTAACCGATTCGGCAGCCTAGGCTGCCATCGGCCATCCTAACCGACAGATTCCGAGGAGCCGAGGAAGTTAGGATGGCAGCCAGGGGTGCAGCTTGGGGGTGTGTTTGAGGAACCTGCTGTGTTGCATGTGGCTTTTATTCGGGACAGCTGGTGTGGTTCTGCGGGTGTTGTGCCTGGGCTTGCTGATGTGGTGGCCCTGTCTGCTGTTTCCTGGTTCTGGGGACAGCTTCGGGGTTTTGCTTGTTTGGGTGTTCCCCGTCGGGGATGGGCTGGGGAGGCCCTTCTCATCCTTTCTTACGTATTGTTGGCGGGCGGTTTTCTGTGGGCCGTTGAGCGTCCTGTTTTTGGCCCTGATGTCTTTGGGGTGGTGTGTTCGTGGCTTCCGGTTTGGGTTGTCTTATGCCCTAGATGAGGTTTGTCGAGGTTTGCTGCTGAGGGGCCTTTTTTGGCTTCTACCCTCTTGTTTCCCTCCTGAGGTTTCTTTTAGGGCTCTGTCTCCCACCTTGTTGGCCCGTTGTGGTGCTGTCTCTACGGTTTGTTCCGTTTCTTTTGCAATGTAGGGTTGGGTTCATCACCCGTGTTCCCTTTTAGGGCACCATTGTAACGGTCATTCACTTCACAGCGGCGTCTCACACAATTGCGGTCCCTCCGTATTCCTCCGTCCAATCTGCAGTTAGTACGGTCTCTCCGTCTTCATGCATCCTTTCGCGCTGCGGTTTCGCCCTTAACATAGATCATCAGCTTCCGTTCCCATCGCACCCGCGTGTCACGTGCCAGGCGCCTTGGTGTCGCCAAACGTTTATGAGCTCTGCCGTCCATTGACGCTCTTCCTCCTAACGGGCTAAATAATTGTGTTCGCTTGTGGCCTAGAGCTACTGTGCACAAATGGACGATAAGGGTTATAGGGCCCCAGTACCCCCAGTACCCCCATCGATTCCATGCCGTACTGCCACCTCCTACCACCACCCCGAACTCTCCTAGTACCCCCAGTACCAATCTTCCGCTACCCTACCGCCCCTAGCACCCCTACCGCCCTAGCACCGCTACCGCTCCTAGCACCCCTACCGCCCCTAGCACCACTAATGCCCCTAGCACTCCTACCGCCCCTAGCACCACTAATGCCCCTAGCACTCCTACCGCCCCTAGCACCACTAATGCCCCTAGCACCCCTAGGGGGTGGGGGTAGGGGTGCAAGGGGTGGAAGGGGCGGTAGGGGTGCTTGATTGGGGCGGTAGGGGTGCTTGGTTGGGGCGGTAGGGGTGCTAGGGGCGGTAGGGGCGGTAGAGGTGCAAGGGGAGGTAGGGGTGCTAGGGGCGGTAGAGGTATTTGGGGCGGTAGGGGTGGTAGGGGTGCAAGGGGTGGAAGGGGTGGTAGGGGTGCTTGATTCGGGCGGTAGGGGTGCTTGGTTGGGGCGGTAGGGGTGCTAGGGGCGGTAGGGGTGGTAGGGGTGGTAGGGGTGCAAGGGGTGGAAGGGGCGGTAGGGGTGCTTGATTCGGGCGGTAGGGGTGCTTGGTTGGGGCGGTAGGGGTGCTAGGGGCGGTAGGGGTGGTAGGGGTGGTAGGGGTGGTAGGGGTGGTAGGGGTGCTAGGGGCGGTAGAGGTATTTGGGGCGGTAGTGGTGGTAGGGGTGCGAGGGGTGGAAGGGGTGGTAGGGGTGCTTGATTCGGGCGGTAGGGGTGCTTGGTTGGGGCGGTAGGGGTGCTAGGGGCGGTAGGGGTGGTAGGGGTGGTAGGGGTGCAAGGGGTGGAAGGGGCGGTAGGGGTGCTTGATTCGGGCGGTAGGGGTGCTTGATTCGGGCGGTAGGGGTGCTTGATTGGGGCGGTAGGGGTGCTTGATTGGGGCGGTAGGGGTGTCTCGGATGATTGGTTGAATATGGTGCCTCCTGAAACTGTTTATAGCCACCACTCCACCACTTCACTCCATGCCACCACTCCGTTGTGGCATCAGGCTCACGGGGTTGCGGTTTATGGACTCTTTATGCGACGCTAAGATGCTTCTACCCTCGTTCTTTACCTCTCTTGTGGTTACTGTGGGGTACTCATGCCTGTTTCCTGCTGGCCCGTTGTGGTGTTGTCTTTCCGGCGTGTTGTGCTCCTCTTGTTGTGGAGGGTTGGGCTCATTACCTGTGTTCCCTTCTGGGGAACCATTGTAACGGTGATTCATCTCATAACGGGCCAATGACTTTGTTCTTCCCCGCTGACTTCATGTGGCCAGGTTTCAATCTGCAGTGGTTCATGCTCGTTGTCCTGCCCTTCCCTTCCCTCAGGCTCCATACAGGCAGAAGCCGGACCGGTGTTAAGTGTGTTTACTTCTTCGATATGCTGCACATCCTCTGGCGTGTCCTGTACTAAGGTCAACTACGCTGCTATTCCCAGCGTAGGGCCCTCGAGGCGTTTCATTATCATGCATAATAATGAAAGCGCGCAAGTACCATGATCGTCCACATTACCCTCCGGCCCATTAGGAAGAAGGCACACCTATACTGTTCCACTGAGCCCAGCAGCCCAGCATTTAGGATTAACAACGAATAAGCCATACCGGTATAAGCCAAGGTATGCTTAGTATCTGTATCAGTGTATCGATACACCATTAGCAAGGCAGCCCTCCCTATCAGTGCACACCCAGGCAGTGGCACCTCTTCCCGTTAGATTCATCGACATGCCCACATGGCCGCCTGTTATGATATCTGTGGTGACATATCGGACAATCGTGACCGCTGGCGGTGCTAGTAATGAAGTGCTCCTTGTCCCTGTCTCCCGGCATAGGCCCGTCCATGGCAGTGCTCTTGTGAATACGAGGCATGGATCTGCTGAGGGAGGGTGGGAAGGCAGCAGCCATGCAAACATTCTTACAAAAGTTACGGCTCCGGCATTTTCACGATAAATTCTCTTTTATTGAGTGGGGACAGTTGTAATAAGGGTAGTTTGGGCCAACTTTATCTTACCACATCGAAAGCACCGAACCCAAACGCCTTTTGATGGGTTTTTAGCAGGCGGCAAAGCTTGGCCGAAGCTGCTTATGCATACGGAGCCCAGCAATTATTATGGCTATTCCGCTATTTGGCTCGAAGCCAGAGACCCCTGCCTGCATGCGAGACGCAGCTGCACTGCACTTCACCTCACCTCCTGCGTCCGCTGGCCACAGATGAAGCCAAGTACCTTAGTAGAGCTCCTGCAAAGCATGGGCGGGGCAAAGAATTTTACGGCCCGGCCTTGTTTGGATACATGTCTGGAACTGGCACATTTCCAGTTTTCTGTCTGCTCCCTAAACATTTGCCAGCAGACCAGGTAGGATGCAGGGACAGCACTATAAATCACTCTCGCGGAAGCCACATGTACCTTTCGGGAAGATGTGCCAGCGGAGCTCACTTTCACTGGAAAATATATAGTCTTAGCACAATGTATGATATATAGCTTCCCAACCTGGAGGTGTGCCCTACAAGTTTAAGAATGTAGTATCGGTACTGTAAGCAAGGGACTCTACGGCGGATATTCGTGTTGTAAGAAGTACTAGACTGGTATTTCTGCTTGCTTGTACGCTAGCCAGTTATGTTATAAATGATGTTATAATATATGTTTGTGTTCCTTTGCTGCCTCGTTTGGTGCAGGCGCCAGCGTCTGGGGTGTGCCAGTGGGTGAGGCCGTAGGAGGTAGGTCAAAACTAACAACACTTTTATCGGCAATGGAAGCGACGGCGTAGGCCCAAGAAGGCCAAAAATTGAGCTCAAGACTCAGTTTATGCACCATGACCCTGGCCGAAAACCTTCCGGCGGGTATGCTGAAAGACTAAGCGTGCGTGAAGCCGACTGGTGGTCTAAGCAGACATTGCCAAGTACCGGTACCTGGCTGGTCGCTTTGAACTTTCTCGGCACTTACAACTCGGCATTGTGGGGATGGCTCTACCCCCCAAGAGGTGCCAAGAACACTGCTCATTCTTGCATGCGCCCTATAATTATCCTCGAGTATCTGTCCTGGAGTTTAATATGTGCTGGTGTTCAACGTATGCACGGCTTCTGTAACTACTCTTCTTGCTGCAGTGGTACTAGCTCTGGGCGCCGACGGTTCGGAGACTACGACAGTGCACAACCTTCCAACGTAGCAGCATCTGAGCAGAGTATTAAAAGTCAAATGGCATT